TTGGCCAGAACTCGAGAAACATGTAGCAGACATGGTGAATGAGCATCGCCAAAATGGTTATGTCGTGACACGAAATAAAATACGTTTGTTTGCACTTCAGTGGGCCAAATCTAACCCAGATCACAGAAACAGATTTAAGGCCACTGTATCCTGGTGTACTAGATTCTTGGAAAGGCATAATATGGTACTGAGGCAAAAGACGAAAATTGCACAAAAATTATCTGCAGATCTTAATAGTAATTAGTTTCCATGATACGCAATACAACAGCGCATTAAACATGGCTATGCGTTAAGTAGTATTGGAAATATGGATGAAACTCCAATGAACGTTGATATGATTGGAAATAAAACTGTCCATCAAAAAGGTGAAAAAACAATTTTAATTAAAACAACAGGACATGAGAAGTCCAGTTTTACAGTGGTACTAGTATGCACAGCTGATGGTGCGAAACTGAGACCAATGATTATTTTTAAAAGAAAAACAATGCCGAAACTCAAGTTCCCTGTTGGTTGTTTTGTACATGTGAATGAAAAAGGCTGGATGGATGAAGAAGGGGTAAAGCTGTGGCTTGATAATGTATGGAGCAGGCGACCAGGTGGACTTATTCAAAAACGTAGTCTACTGTGTGGGATATGTTCAGGGCTCATTTAACTCCAGCACCAAGCAAAGGCCTGCAAGAATAAACACAGATGCGGCAGTTATTCCTGCAGGATTGATATCGTTGGTACAGCCACTGGATGTGTGCCTAAACAAGCCATTTAAAGATCGCATTCGAGAACAGTGGAATGAATGGATGGTTAGCGGCGAAAAGTCATTCACAAAAGGAGGAAACATGCGTGCTCCACAGTTGGATGTTTTGTGCAAGTTTGTCATAAAAGCCTGGAATGATATCGATGCAGAAACAGTACTCAAGTCTTTCAAGAAGTGTGGCATATCAAATTCATTAGATGGTATGGAGGACGACTACTTGTGGCAAGATGAAGAGGAAGCCAAAGCTGAGACCACCCCACCTGATACAGAATTCGATCCATATGATGACTGCCTTACAAATGTATCACAAGATGTCATTGATGTACTTATGATATCAGATGACGAACAGGATGATTTTGAAGGCTTTTAAAGGGAAACTGTCACGCCAGCAAAACCTGTAAAAATAGCTTGCAGTTATGATGGGCGTTGCTGACTTGCCAGGGACTTGCCCTGCACTTGCTCTCTCTATTGTTTGTTATCTTCCTCCTATCATCATCAGTTCCAGTTTTGTTGACAGCTTAGAAAACAAATAGCATGGCAGCTCCCATGGGTTTATTGTCTTATCCTTCCTTTCAGCTTTAGAGTGAATTAGGAAAAGTTTAATCCACTTGCACTGTTTTATGTTTACATGTTTGATGACAAATAGCCTTATGTTTATAAGTGACAGTTTTCCTGCTAAGTACCTGCATGTCATAAGATTTGAATTAAAATTACCATATTGAAATCAAATCTGATGTTTTTTTAATTTTTATTTGGTGTGCGTTGGAAGAGAGGTAGTCTTATATGGCGAGTATAGCCCAAACTCTATATTTTAAATGGAAAAGTTAGGGGTCATCTTATACACCCCGTCGTCTTATACGCCGGAAAATACGGTATGTATTTTTAGTTTTGACAATACTCTTATTTTTCAGTATGACTTAACAGTGCTCCCTAACACATCTACTAAACTGATCGTGCTAAACTTGTTTCCCAAATAGACTTTCCCATGTCCTCTCACTTATGTTAAGGATACAAATGATGAAAAGTGAACTATGCCTTTATCAGTCCACCAGGCATCCTTAGGAAAGTGATTTAGCTCCTAGTAATTTCTGATTTGCTATTGTGTCCTAGGATCTCAGAGATACAAATTCTCTTCCAAGGAGGCTGGCTTTCAATTATCCTGTAAGGTCTTTAAAGTTGAGTGGGGTGGGGAAGGGAAGGGAAGGTTCAGGCAGGAGTCCCAGATTATCTTTCTCCCATTGTTCTTTCTATTATGAATTCTGGACATGGACTGAAACCTAAGCATGTATTCAAGGAAGAAATGTATAACTAGTTTCACTAAGTAGATTATCTTAATTTTATTTGGCATTCTGGATGAGACTGTTGCCTTCCCTGATTTTCCTCTATTTCTCTGTGCCCAATACCTTTATATATCTAAAGATCTGTCTTCATTGGTTTAAATCTTCCCTATGTGAAAGATCACCTAATTACACAGTATTCCTTCTGTTTCCCAATAGGCAAAATGTTTTTTTTAATTTCTATATTTCTTGACTTTGGGCAAGAAGATCCAAAGCATCCTATTTTTCACAGGCCTGGGCGGACAGGAGAAGACATTTGTAGAAGGTCTAAAATAGACGAGAAAATGTCAGGAGATTCAGCCTAACCAGTACACCTTCTCTTAAATAACTTTTCTGGGGTTTATTTAAAAATGGGATTTGCCAGTGAAATTTTCTTATCCCTCTCTCAGGTTATAATATCAGCTCTGTCAGTATTCAAGCCATGGAATATCTCACAGGATGTAATGAGTATAATCTGAAGAAGCAGACTGCAGTGTGAAATTCTCCAATTCAGTTTCAAGTGGCTACACTCTCCATTCTCCTCAAAGATAACCTATTCCTCCTGTACTTTATTGCTTCTCAACCAACAAATCAGTCCTATGAGATCACTGAGCATTTTCAGTCTTGAGTTCCACTTCTGGGGATTTTTTTTTTTTTTCGCATTCCTACAAACGGAGGAATGCATTTTCACAGCAGGTCCAAAGCATCTAGGACAGTGGTTCTCAACCTTGCATCTTTAAGACATGTGAACCCCCAAAATTGCCCAGACAGGTTGAGAAATACTGTGATCTAGTGCATAACATTACTCCATGCTGCTGCTGTTGTTTCACTGCAACTTGGAAATTGTTCCCTGGCTCCATCTCTACAGCTAACAGCAATCTTAACTTCATGACATTCCAAGCCATTGTTTCCAAGCTTGAATGTTTGCCCAAAGCACAAGCAGTAGAAATTTACGGCAGTCTTTCCCAATCTTTCTCATTCTTCGTATTAACTGTGTGCTGCAGCTGCCAAAAAAGCCAACACAGTGCTAGGCTGCATTAACAGAGGGATAGAATCAAGATCACGTGAAGTATTAATACCACTTTACAATGCCCTGGTAAGGCCACACTTGGAATACTGCATCCAGTTTTGGTCACCACGATGTAAAAAAGATGTTGAGACTCTAGAAAGAGTACAGAGAAGAGCAACAAAGATGATTAGGGGACTGGAGGCTAAAACATAAAAGAAACGGTTGCTGGAATTGGGTGTATCTAATTTAATGAAGAGAAGGACGAGGGGGTACATGATAGCAGTGTTCCAATATCTCAGGGGTTGCCACAAAGAAAAGGGAGTCAAGCTATTCTCTAAAGCGCCTGAAGGCAGGACAAGAAGCAATGGATGGAAACTAATCAAGGAGAGAACTAAGGAGAAACTTATTAACCAGTGGAACAACCTACCTCAAGAAGCGGTGAATGCTCCAACACTGGTGGTTTTTAAGAAGAGACTGGACAGCCATTTGTCCAAAATGGTATAGGGTTTCCTACCTAAGCAGGGGGTTGGACTTGATGATTTCCAAGATCTCTTCCAACTATTATTATTATTATTATTATTATTATTATTATTATTATTTACTACTACTATTACTACTACTACTATTACTCTTATTAACTGGGTTAGAAATCTCCTCACTACAAGCTACAGAAGTCACTGTTGGGAGAGTCCAATACATCCAAAGGGCAACAAGATGCCCAAAGTTATTCTACCATTGCTGCTCTCTTTTTTTTTCAAAAACCTTTTTTCAAAGAGTACAGGTAGTCCTCAAGACCACAGTTGAGTCCAACATTTCTGTGATTCAGCAAGACAGTTGTTAAGTGAGTTTTACCCCTTTTACCACCTGTCTTGCTACAATCCTTAAGTGAATCACTGCAGTTGTTAAGTTAGTAAAACGTTGTTAAGTGAATCCAGCTTCCCCATTGACTTTATTTGTCAGAAGCTTGTAAAAGAGGATCACATGACTCCAGGATGTTGCAACTGTCATAAATATGAATCAGTTGCCAAGCATGTGAATATTGATCACAGGGCCATGGGGATGCTGCAACTCTCATATAAATATGAAAAACGGTCATCAATTTTTCAGTGCCATTGTAACTTCGAAGAGTCATTGAAGAAATGGTTGTGAGTCAAGGACTATCTGTAAAGCAGACAGGGCCCTGCCATAACCCAACTGAGTCCACTAGAGATTACGCCACATATTTTAACAGGGAACTGTTACATCAACCAGTAAAACAGTTCTTCCCAAATAGCAGCTGGTTTCAAAATTTAAGCATGCATCTTCTGCCCTGGATAAAACTGCCATGCCCAGATCTCTGAGTGATGATGATTCATGTCCTCAGAAAGGAAATGAGAGGCTGTGTCCACAGAATATATTAAGCCATAATTTATCTGACCCTAAATGGTTGCACTCAGGCAAATGCTCCCTTACAAAGTGGCTCCCTTACAAACTCAGAAAGAATCACCTAATGGCTCTAGGCATTGTATAAACTTGGCACTCTGTTCTGTTGCACTTACTGTTATAACTGTTCCACTGCAGAGCCTAAACTGGATCTCTGATCCACTCCAGGACCAACAGAGACACCGAAGCTCTGAGCACCTGCTGATCATATAATTAGAGGACAGATCCAAACTTAGTTGGCAGTGGGTCTGCAAAGCACAGTCTTTTCTTTCCTACTGGAGCTTGGAACCTGACAACCGATATCCCAGCTACGATTTTAAGAATCCCATCCTAAACTGATCGAAAGCCCCGGGAGCTCTCATTCTGATCAAGCCCCGGCTTGGGATAGCGGCGACGGAGGTCTGAGTTTTCCTTCGCCAGTCCTCCTCGGCCTGCAGCGTCCAATTCCTCCCAAGTACCGAGAACCAGCCCAACAGGCACTCCCAACAGTCCCGGGTCTCACCAGGTCCGCCAGAACGAGGCGAGGAGGCCGCGGACACGCAGCAGTGTCCATCATCCTCCAGGTCTCCGCGGTCCGTGCCCGAGTAAAGCCGGTGACGCTCAGCAGCCCCTGGCAGCGGAGGCGGCAACAAGGGCTCTTTTTCCGGGCTGGTTCCCTGCTCCATGAATCACAACGGAGTCAGCGTACTAGGCAGAAACAGCGCCTGCAGCTGCTCATCTAAGAAAGGCGGCCTCGCCGCTGAGCTTCCGCTCCCGCTTGTGATAAGCAGAAAAGGGCACGGCTCCGCCCGCTACACGTGATGGGGGCGGGAGGAGGGGAAATAGAGCTTTTGAAGCGCTCTTCTGCTTGTGCGACCTCGAGTTGCGGTTTGAGGTTGGTGATCGTCGGTGGCGTGGTTGACTGTTCGCTAGGAACCATCTCGCCGTCTCTCACTTCCCCTTCCCCAGCCTCAAAAAGGGTTGGAGGCCGAGAAATCCTTCCCGATGCAACAAGAGAATTAAACGGACTTTTTAAAAATGAAGCTTGTCTCTTCCCCGGAGCGCTCTGTTCATGGTCGGGTGGTCCGAACGCGACGCAGATTTACTTAAGCCAGGGTGTAGAGCTGGCAGTTAGGGGTAGGTAGGAGGGCTACCTGAGTCCTGGTTCTCGCTCCTTGCCTTGAATTCTGTTCTGTATTCTCTTCAGAATACAGAAAAGGACGGAACAAGAGTGTTTTATTTTAATTATTGATATAAAGCAGTAGAATTGGTGAACGTGCAATTGAGAGAACATAGAATAACATAGAGTTGGAAGGAACCTCGGACGTCTTCTAGTCCAACAACTTGAACGGGAGACCTATACCATTTCGGACAAATGGCTGTCCAGGCTCTTCTTAAGAGCCTCCAGTGATGGAACACCCACAACTTCTGACGGCACACCCTTCCACTGGTTAATTGTTCTCCCTTGGGAAATTTCTTAGTTTTAGGTTGCTCTTTTCCCTAATAATAATAATAATAACAACAATAACAACAATAATAATAAAGTTGGGAGGGACCTTGGAGGTCATCTAGTTCAACCCTCTGCTCTGGTAGGAAACCCAATACCATTTTGGACAAATGGCTGTCCAGTCTCTTCTTAAAATCTTCCAGTGTTGGAGCATTCACTGCTTCTGGAGGCAGGTTGTTCCACTGGTTAATTGTTCTGTCAGGAAATTTCTCCTTAGTTCTAGGTTGCTTCCCTCCTTGATTAGTTTCCATCCGTTGCTTCTTGTCCTGCCTTCAGGCGCTTTAGAGAATAGCTTGACTACCTCTTCTCTGTGGCAGCCCCTGAGATATTGGAACACTGCTATCATGTACCCCCTCGTCCTTCTTTGTTAAACTAGACATACCCAATTCCAGCAACCATTCCTTATATGCTTTAGCCTCTAATCCCCTAATCATCTTTGTTGCTCTTCTCTGTACTCTTTCTAGAGTCTCCACATCTTTTTTACATCACAGTGACCAAAACTGGATGCAGTATTCCAAGTGTGGCCTTACCAAGGCATTGTAAAATGGTATTAACATTTCACATGATCTTGATTCTGTTCCATCCATTGTTTCTTATCTTGTCTTCTGGTGCTTTGAAAAATAGGTTGACCCCCTCTTCTTTGAGGCAGCCCCTCAGTTATTGAAGCACCTGCTATCATCTTGTCCTTCTTTTCATTAGACTAGAGCCAGGGGTAGGCAACTCTGGCTTTTATGACTTGTGGACTTCAACTTCCAGAATTCCTCAGTCAGCCTTGCTGACTCAGGAATTCTGGGAGTTGAAGTCCACAAGTTATAAAAGAGCCAACGTTGCCTACCCCTGGACTAGACATACCCAATTCCTGCAACCGTTCTTCATATGCTTATGTTCCCCTAATCGTCTTTGTCGCCCTTCTTTGCACTCTTTCCAGAATCTCAATTCTGATTATTTCTTAGTCACACAGGGCAATTTTTCAATATTTCTTTTTTAAATCTGATTTGCACAGTGAATTCTATTAGAAATGCATGGGTTGCATAGACTGAATGGTTCATTTTTCCCCCAAGCACTCATCGTCACAACATGGAAAAATATGGATAAATATTGTCACAATATGGATAAACATATCAGATCTGGATTAAGGAAGAACAATGAATAATAATATAGATGTGATCGCTTTTGTAGCAGATATGTTCTCTACATTTAAATCCTTCTTTAGCCTTTACTCTCCAGATTTTTTAGATTGCAACTGCCAAAATTTCTACGCAATTCTATCACACCAAATTGAAGTAAAACCAAGGTTATCAAAACATGTTTAATTGTTTAAGATGAGTATGAGTCCTTCAATATTCAGCAAGAAACAGTAGGATTTCTACTTCTGCTCAGGCAGTTTATAATAGCAAGGATTGTTAAAGGATGTAAGGATTGTTAAAGATCAGTACATGATAACAGAGATTATGTGAATCTTTCAGAGAAGTCTGCCGGATTAGTCTTTCATAGCAAAACCAGCAAAGAATGCTAAAAGCTAAGACATTTATGTGTGTCTTGATTTGGTCATCCTTATACTGTACATGTGTAAGCTTAAGACAAATCTTTTGGTAAACAGCTGGGTGCTGCTTTATCTGAGAGAACTGAGAGGCTATAGGTATCTTGACAGATAAGAAGGATAAAGTGTTCTCTAGTACCAAGTAATGACAAACAATTAATCCAACATGCAGAAATCAATGTTCTCTCTTTATCTTGAAGTCACAAAGTAAAAAAACAATCATGCCTGTATTAAAGAGAATAATTGTGCGAGTATACACAAACATGGGCATAGGCTGTAACTACATGGCATCTTAAACCGCAAACTACATTTTAGTCTCGTATTATGTAGACCCACCCAATGTGATCAGTTTATGATTTGACCTATTATACAAAACTAGAAAACTGGGTTGAGTAAACCACGATTCACCATGACTAATCATATTATGCAAACATTATAGACTCAGGGTGGTTCTTCCTGGAAGACTCTTAGACTTGCCCGCCAAAAGAGATTCTGCAACTCTTTAGTCTTCTATTCCTTAATGTAAGAAATACTATGGAAAATCCAAAATGGAGATACCATCATGCTTTTTATCATGGATAAATGAGGCAAAATTATTACATAATACAAGACTAAATCTGGAAGCATCAATGAAGATTCTCAAATCCATTCGGGAACCCCAGTATCATGAGAAGCAAAGTGGTCTTTGTTACTTTTCTTTTTTTTCCAAGTGCTCTACTGACAAATCCCACTTCAAACATTGCTTTTCACTCCAAAGCCAATGTTCTTAAGCAAACAAAGGAACTGGTTGAAGCAAGATCAGGTTTTAATTGCTCAGTATTCAAAACTAAGTAAAATCAAAGGTAACCAAGTAAATATTCTTTGAAAATAACTAGAATCAAGGTAAGAGCTGAATATATTAGGTCTGTCTACATAACTATTCAATGATTTAGCATATTGATTTAGGCAAACCTCACATTTTATGATTTCTATCCAAAATTCTGAAGGTCTTTTGCAACATGTCATATGCTCATAGTTTGCATCATAAAAATCAGCAGACCTGAGAATAGTTAAAATTATCTTGTGCTTAGGCTGCAATCTTCTATTTACCTACTAAGAAATAAGAACAATGAACACAGTGGCTCTATTTATATAGACATACAGAGAATTGGGTTTACCAGCTATTTTTGGACAATTATTAATATATACCAATTTACTTAAATGTAGTAGAAACAAAATATCAATTACAGCTGATATTTTTAAATTTTTCCAAATAGTTTATTTCTTAATTTGTACAATTGTGATACTGTTCACGTTCTGGAAAGTCAAAGCATTGCACAACATTTCAGTCATGGTCCCATAGTTTTTTGTCAATGGACAGACTTGGAATTTTGAGAGAATGTCATGAGCATTCTCAAAATGGATGCTGTGATTACTGAACCTAGCCAGTTACCTAAAGAAACATTGTAGATGATGTGATCAATCATAATCAGTACATGTCAAAGCTTTGATAAATAGCATGAAGATGTATTCCATCAGAGATCACCACATGAGTAAAAGCCACCTCTACCAGCATAGGATCACACCATTGTAGAATTAAATCATTATTTTACAAGTGAAGTCAAATCAACAAAGCTTATAAGAGAAACACCTTCACCCCAAATCTTATGTAGTAGTATATTTTAGGTCAGCTTTAGTTATACATATAGAAATTTATGAATGTCTATAACCAATACATAAAGAAAACATGAGACAATTTCTATATGATAATATATGAATAAAAAAAATCAAACATCTCTTATAAACAACCCAGTTTTTCAACAATTAATTAGAACCAGGTTTTTGTTGTTTTTAATCTGTTTAGTTTTAAAAGTTGTTATGGTTTTTGTTTGTAGTTTTGATCTCATCAGATCAGCAATACCATACCTGCACTTTGAAACACAAAAGAAATTTTAAATTTTTATACGTTTCATTTGTATTTTACATGTTTGTTTCAATAGTATATATTATTATAATTACACCTATTCTTTTTAACGATCTAAGCTGTTTTAGGAATGAGTGGCAGGACCAATCATATAAATATTTTAAATAATAATTTGATGTTATTGGCTTTGCAACATAATAGTGTCAGCAACATAAAGCATGGCCATAGTACCCCCAAGTTGTTGGTTTTCATGGCTAAGTCAGGCAGTGGGAGTTAACACCAAAAGACAGATCAGCAAGTATGTGTATTAGCTTATTAGATGCTCTCCTGGTAGATAGAGAAGTCTCTGGGGACCAAACTAAGCCATCTGATGGTTCACTAAAAATTAATCAGAGATTACAAATGTTGTGGTACTGATATCTTACCTCAACTTAACGCAGTAGCAGATGGCAACCTCCCAGAATTATATTTTAAAAAATTATCCACCAATCCTGAAAACTTAATTATTAGATATTACATAGCACGTAACAGCCAGTGCTAAAAGCAGAACCCAGAAATTCCTGATTAGATCACTCTGATGTTAACAGGATTGTGTTTTCATTTAAAGGTGTGCTTTCTTACTGAGATTAGCCAGGCCCCTAATCTGCTGTCCAAATCAGAATTGTTAACCTTATGTAAATAACAGATGAAAAATAGAAGAGCCAGTTATATTCACTAAAAAATAAATTTACTGCAAAATAAAGTGGCAGGGAGCCATTTTCATATTGACCAGGGCTAATAATAATAATAGTAATAATAATAATAATAAAGTTGGAAGGGACCTTGGAGGTCATCTAGTCCAACCCCTTGCTCAGGCAGGAAACCCTATACCATTTCAGACAAATGGCTATCCAGTCTCTTCTTAAAAACTTCCAGTGTTGGAGCATTCATCGTTCATTAGAACAAATATTTTTTTCACACAAAAAGTTGAACTGCTATGACTGGTGTCGATCAAATTAATGATTCCAATTTATTCTAACATCTAAAACTTTCAACACACCAAATAATCATGTTCTTAAAATTGCCACCATAGAACCAGAGCAATGGAATTGACGTACATAATTTAGCCGTCAATCCAATGCATGCTTTTCAAGTAGAATATCTCAGTGGGACCTACTTTTGAGTATGTAACCAACTAGATTTTCGGCAGTTGACCATGGTTGATTAACTCTAGTGTGTTGTCTCTATAATTATTTGTATTTATCTATTAAAACATTGGTTTATGCTCATTAATCTAGGAACACATACTAATGAACGTTGTGGGACGGCTAATGACAATATTATCTAACCAACTAGCTTACAAGGCTGTTCATGTATTGAGTTTATCTGCCTGTGTGGACAAGATTGGATTTTTCCCTTTCTTTGCCATTTCCAAGATTTGCTCTTAACTATTAAACAACTTGAGGAATACAAGAATCCCTATGTGACACATGCTATATAACCAAAGTTCAACTTTGCTGGATTATATATTTTAGAAAATTTGTGACAAGAAAACAGCTTATCTTCAGATTTTAATGAATATAGTTTCTAAAATCACAGTTTGAAACAAATACATTAAGATTACTCAAAAAGTTCTGGATTAACATCTTTGATTTTAAAATTGTAACAATTGTGTCATTTGTATTGATTGCTTAAAGAAGACAAACACCATTAATATTTAAATAATTTTCATTCTTTGATCATTATTATTCAACTTTACAAAATCACCCATTCCAAGCAGAAAGACAGAGAGATCAAATTCAATTTTTGAGCTGAAGTTTCTAGTCCATCACTTTCTTAGCTTCTAGTTTAGAAACCTGTAAATTAGAAAGCACAGATTTTCCTTTTGATTAAAACGCTATGTTACATGCACATTTTTATCAGAATCCCACCACTCCAGCTATGTTTTCTAAGCAAAAGTAGATTGTGATGAACTAATTTCAACAAGTGCTAAACCATCTCTATTCCAAATTGCACCTTTCCTAATATGCTTTGACAAGCAACAGAACTATTGGGAATGCTTTAAAACATATTTGTGTATTATATATAATTAGGTCGTAACAAAAAATAAGAAAGAAACTTTTAACAATTGGTATTCATCAAAAGTCATGGTAAAACTGAGCTTTCAACCAAAAAACATATGCATCATTAAATAATTATCACAATATATCAAAATAATTAATAAGTGGATTCAGACTTAATAGCAGGCCATTGTGTGATACAACATATAGAAACGCAGTGTTTCTGTAGTTCATCCCTTGTGAGAAATACAGGTAGTCCTTGATTAACAGCGACAAATGGGACTTCCACTACTAAGCAATGCAATTGTAAAAGCATGTTCTCACGTGACCATACCACTTAGCAACGAAAATCCAGCACTTCTGATTACCATCATAAAGTGAATCATGAGTTGTTAAGTGCAACATAATATGGTCACCATTTCTGACCTCATGCTGGCTTCCCCATTGATTTTGCTTGTCGGAAGCTGGCAAAGAAGGTTGCAAATAATAATCATGTCACTGTGGGATGCTGTGGTATTATAACTGGAAGCCAGGAACTAATCACCCAGATCACAATCATATGACTATAGGATGATGCAACCAATATAAATATAATGTAAGCTCTACATTGTAAGTACTACCATTTGTTCTGTGCTGTTGTAAGTTTAAATGGTCCCTGAACCATTAATCGGTTGTTAATCAGCACTTTTAATCCACTCGCACCATTATTTTCCTATGATAATGTCACACATAATTTGGACATGTTGAAAGAAGCGTACAGGCAACAGAGTCTAATTAAAAATAAACAAATGTTTACAGCAGAACCACTGGACCTGACCCCAACCTGATTCCCCTGTGACTTTACAATACATGCAACAGACTGACAAAAAGGCAACCTGCTACTTCCTTATAAGTATAAGGATGTCTAAGTGTTTCCACAGTACTAAAACACAGGTAGTCCTTGATTTACGGCCACAATGGAGCCCAAAATTTCTGCTGCTAAGTGAGACAGTTGTTAAGCGAGTTTTGCCCATTTTACGACTTTTCTTGCCACAGCTGTTAAGTGAATTTCTGCAGCTGTTAAGTCAGTTAACACGGTTGTTAAGTGAATCTGGCTCTGACTTTGCTTCTCAGAGGGTCACAAAAGGTGACCGCGTGACTCTGGGACACTGCAACTATGAATCAGTTGCCAAGCGTCTGAATTTTGATCACGTGTCCATGGGGATGCTGCAACCATCGTTAAATGTGAAAAACAGTCATAAATCACTTTTTTCAGTGCCGTTGTAAGTTTGAACAGTCGTTAAATGAACGGTTGTTAAGTCAAGGTCTACCTGTTAATAGCCTCAGCTACTCATAGGATAGAATAATAGGACACCATTTCCAGAGCACAAGGATAACCCGATTCAGGTCCAATACGGGAGCAACCACTATTGTCACTGCTGCAACAATGTTTCTTTCTCTTGACCAGTTCTTACACACTTGGAAACGTATTAGCCCATATGCAGTACATCTTTAAAAAAAAATCATTCAGGTGTTCTTTATTCAGAGTTCCTGCCATGTGAGCACTCCAGATAATCCATGATTCTACCCTTGCAGCCATCACTCAAATTATGTCTGCTTCCTACAGAGAGTAGCCTGATAACTGTATGTGCAAGAAGGAAAATCTTTGCATGTGCAGCTAGAGGCACAATGACTTTCATGTTCGGCACCTCTTGTTTAGTCTAGAAGCGGTTCAGTAAGCAATTCTATAAATCTCGTTAAGTTAGGGCGATCAATTATTTCTTTTCCCAAAAAAGCAGTGGGGAGGATGGGGCCTCTTAGGATAGCAACAAATAGATCTACAACTGTGTAAGTCCTAGCTGGGAAGTAGTGGCTCACAGCCGTAGTAATGCTAGAAGTAAAAGTAGATGCTGTTACGTGACTATGTTAGCTGTGGTTAAGGTGACATTAAAAGCCATGAGATAAAGAAGACAGGCATCAGTAAAAGATTAGGAAGAATAAGGTCTTTGCCAAGTACAGGAGAACAAGCATCTGAGTTTGAGTACATGCAGATCAGAATTACTAGTTTAGTCCCTCCTTCTCAAACAAGAAAAATCTCACTTGCCACTCTGCTGAAGATATCATGCTAGCATGGGTACTTTTTTATACAACCCAGCCCAGTGGGGGGATTCAGCCAGTTCGCACCGCTTCGGCATAACCGATAGTTAATTTTTTGTTGCCCAGGCCCAGAATGGACTTCCGGAAGCAGCATCCACATAGAGAACCGGTTGTTCACATATTTCAATCCCACCACTGACCCAGTCTCCACACCCAATGGGCAAGTATTAATAATGCTGCACAGTATTAGTATCTGGCAAAGACGAATAACATAGAAAAAACCTGATAATCAGATACTTCAGCCTAGATTAATCTTGCCTATATAGTATGAACACAGAAAGATTTTTTTAAAAAATAATGCTGTACTAGCGGCAAATGAAGACCTTATGGAAATCAGTAAGATTTTTTTTAACCTTCCCCATGAATCAAAACTATAGAGAAAATGATGGAAAAATTATGCAAGATCTTCTTTACAGGTATTAAAATGACAGGGGTCACATAGCATATTTTAATCTTGATTTCCCAGGAAGTCAGATACAATTGCAGTACTGTCTGGCATTTCAGAGGTGGGAATTAGCATTTACTGCATATATAAACAGATTATTGATACCATGGTATAACCATGGCATAATATTTTGGTAGGGAGTATGTACAATTTGGCAAAACAATATTTATTAACATTATGTCATTACTGTAAATGAAAACGACAAACAAGCCACAATGATTAGAGATGCTTGATTTTTCCACATCCGATGCCTCCAGTGTTAAAATAAAATCATATCCATGGTTGCCATCATCTTCAAAGCTAGGTGGTGATGCAAACAGGACTTCAGCTCTACCCTTTCATTTGAGGCAAATAAATCACTTCAAATTTCCCCAGGCATTTGAAAAACAAAGTTTATATATTTTATCTTAGCTGAGATGAACTTTCATTTATTCAAGTGTGGGGAAAAAAATACCATAAAAGTATAGAAGCAGTAGCCAATGTATGAATGATCACTGTAGAGGATCCGAGGCTTAAGCAGGCACAACTACCATTGCAAATCGTATTCACATTGTTCCAAACCTTACTTTGAAAAAAGTTTATCCTGTTACAATAGCTACAAATATTATGGCTACAAAGAGGACTGTTAAATCCTATACCTGCATACATCTCTAAACACGGATGGCACCAGAACATAAAAACAGATTAATGCTTACCTGTTCATCTATACACCTGAACTGCCAGGACCAAGCAGAATTGTAAAGGAAAGGTCTCAGATCAAAGCGATTGTCATCGGGACTATAGTTGGCAGCATGATAGGATGGAGTAAGGGTAGTCATTTTATGTCGGTTGATTGAATACATTTGAAAGAAATGCTTAACCTTTGATGCCACCTGGTGAACAAAACGCAGCATGTTGCAGACTCAAAAAAAAAACAACAACTAAAAAATCAAAACCCACCACCACCCAGTAGAAACATAACATAGAATTAGTCTATAACTAAGATTCAGAGGTTGCAATCCTACATTTAAGCCTGGCCAATCTTACTGATTTATCAACAGGAGCGCTCAATCTTTAAGCCTGGCCAATCTTACTGCATTTATCAACAGGAGCGTTCAAGTTAAAATGGGGTGCCACCAGAGCTGCAGTAAGGTGAGCTATGCTGGGCAGTTTCCCAAGTCTCACATTGAAACCTGGAATTCTCTTGAATGAAACTGTAGCAATTAAGAGTAGTCTAGAATTGAAGAAGTCATAACCGGGAAGCTATTCAGACATTATCATCAAATCATGATTTGCCAAATTCAAATATATATTTTGATCTTGCCAGTGTATAAGTACACATGGCTTAGTGCTGCTTGTGTAAATGCATTAGGGAAATTTTCTTGTTTACCTCTCTTGGAGAACATATCGCTTTCCACATTGTGACCACTTTACAGAACATGGTATAAGGTCCAGCCTTAGCTATCTTCCTTAGTTTACCATAGACTGAGAGTTCAGCATACGTCATACCCATGTCTACCTGACATTTCATATACAGCACAAAAAGAAAAGAAAAGAAAGAAACCAAATGAATATAAGAATCATACATTCTTCCAAGAGCCAGCCAACACTGAATCGGAACTATAGTTAATTCAGATTTCTCTGAACTTGGGGAAAAATAATACTTAACTTAAAATACAATACACCAGTTATATCACTTCATTATATTAAATCCCATAACTCTGTCCTACTGTCATTAATTATAATTCAGAAGCAGTTTTGGAGTGATCTGGAGACTGCAGATTTCCAACTACTATCAGTAAAATTTCTTATTTTTTGTGAAACAGGGCATTACTAATAAGTACCTGGCTAATTAGGAATGGTGAAGCTCTGATAAACCTGTGACAATCTGGATTCTAAATTCTTCAAGACCCTTTATATGCCCATTGTAACTTATACAGATAGTCCTCGACTTATAGCAGTTCTTTTAGTGACTGTTCGAAATTACAACGGCACTGAAAAAAGTGACTTTTGACCGTTTTTCATATGACCATTGAGCATCCCCATGGTCAAGTGATAAAATTCAGATGCTTTGCCACTGAATCATAGTTATGATAGCTGCATGCCCCGGGGTCATGTGATTCCCCTTTTACAATGTTCTGACAAGCTAAGTCAATGGGGAAGCCAGATTCACTTAACAACTATGGCAAGAAAGTTCGTAGAATGAGGCAAAACTCACTTAACAAATGTCTCACTTAACAACAGAAATTTTGGGGCTCCATCAAGTCGTAAGTCGAGGACTACATGTATCATTACAAAAGACATGCAAGTCTGCAGCTGAAATATCTTAACAGGAAAAAAAAATACAGTTGGCTAATGTATACTGAGTTCCATATGATCACAAAAGTCAGACTTTCTTGAATTTTGATGAAGATTAAAAGACTGCATGTACAAGCTACAAATTAAAAGTACGGGCTTACAAGATGGTAGTAGTCACTGCACTTTTACCTCATCCATTTGAGTAACATTTCCATTCTGCAGTGGCTCCAACTCTGCTGTTGGGGGTGCTGATATAATACTGTGTATAGGTAAAATGAAATGAATAAAATTAATCTATAGTAATCTATAGTAATAGATTACTATTACCATGAACATGTTCCATCTGGACCAAAAGCATCTTTTGTCTGCATCAGGCTACATTTCTATTCAAGTACAAGCACAACATTGCCTGATTACTTACAGTTGAATGCACAAATCTGGGCACTTTGGGTCAAACTTTGTATATTTCACTGAATCCCTAAGTACATAGAAGCTGATCTTTAGCAAGATAAAAGTTTGAGGACTCTGAATACCATTCTAAAATCTTTATCCTTCTTACTTGAAAATACTTCATGGTGGATTGGAAGGCAATATTCTGGACTGTTGTTTTGCTGAAATATCCAACTTATTTTCAGATTCATTTTTTTTTTTTTTTTGTCCTCCACTAGTTGTGGAACATTGCCCCAAACTTGCCAGATATATCAAGAAAATTCACAAATCCCTTGCAAAGACTAAAAAAGTTTAGCTAATATTCAGCATTTGTCCACTGCACATGACTCCTTATACAATAATTTTAATGGGAGACTTTTCTCTGACTTCATCACGAAATGTTAAGGTATGCAAAAGAAAACACTAATAAGCCTGAATTATTTTGAGCAAAATACTATGAATTGATATTTCATGAACTGAAACTATTCAGACATAATTATAGAATATATTTTTAGAGGAAAAAAACGTGTAATGTTTCAAGAAAAGATCATCTTTCCAAACATGGTGCCTGGGGGTGGTTCTGTGATAATTTGGAGTTGTATGTAAATAGTGGCATTAGAAAAATTGTGTGAGTAGTAGGAAGAATTGAAGGACTTAGAGGCGGCGGCAGGCAGCGTGCTCCAGGGGCAAAAAGGAGCGAGGCCCCTTTAAGGAAAAGGTGGAAGAGACAGGATCAGAAAAAGAAAAGGAGGCAGGAATACAAGCTAATTTGAGGGCTAATCCCTATGGAGCTCCGTTTCCATCTGTCCTGATTCCCTAGAGACTAAAATAGACAATCTGAAACTTGAGCTGGCCATGAAAAAGGAGTCTATATCGGAGATCGTGACCCTCTGAGATCTGTATGTAACGAAATTTCATTTTGATGTATGCCGATTGGTGTACATTCAAAGTGACAATAAAGTAGTTGTTATTATTATTAAGAATGGATTTTGTTAAATATTAACATATCCCAGAAGCTCATATCCCAGTCAGTAAAGAATATGAAGCTGAGAAGAGGCTAGATATTTCAGCAAGACAATTATCTGAAATGTTCCTCCAGATTAACTTGTATTGTTATGTTATAGGCAAGTAAGAAAATGGCCTGCATAGCTGTATCAGGAAATAAACAACCTGACTAGGGGGGCAAGACTATTACATACAACCGCTTTGTATTAATAAAATACATGTTAAGAAAGTATGAAAAATCTTTCTTATTAGCCAGCAAAACTGTACTTGATATAATCATACTTTAAAGTAACTATTATTCATTGATGTTCAGAATTTAGTTGCAATTTGATCAAGTCCCAGTTAAAATCAAATTTTGAAGCATTCAGTAATCCTAGGAAAACCAAAGGGGGAAAAAAGCACCAAGATTCCAGATCATTCTATACTGGAACAGACTGGAATAAGTTTCATTAGTTCTCTACTTACCTTTTAAGGGATGTTAGCTGAAAATTCTCAATGCAATATTGCATAAAGCATTTCAAATCTGTTTTGCTAATTCCACCAATAGGGTTGATATCACCACTGGAACAGTCATATTTTGTGAAATATCCTCGAAGGCTAAGAAGAAAATATTTATTTATTTACTTCCTATAGGTCTAAAGCTAATGACAAATATATTAAGACAATATTGAAGACTCCCAAAAGCTGTGCAATTATAATTACATAAATTTCTCCACTAATTCTGAGGAAAAAGTCTGTAGACTGAGAAAGGAAGACCTGATATAATGCTTCTATTAATTCAGAACAAATGTTAGGCTGTTCTCTATCCTTCCATTACAGCTTTTTCCAATTGGGTGTGTATGAATGAATCGGAGGGAGGGAAGGAGATGTGCAAACTGCTACATGCACTTCAAAGGTCACTCAGAAATATATCCAGTAAATACAAAAAATCCACAGTAAGCTTTTTAATGGTGAAATTATAATTTATGTAATGTTATTATTTTTCAGACAGCTTTTTAGTATAGTTTATGTAGTACTGAGAAAAGACTTCCGGTGTTAATATGTCCAGTTATCTTCCTATAACCTCTATATGGTGAGTGTTTCCTTTCTCTTTTAAATTTACATAGAAGGAATATCTAACAGTTAGTTACTTTACAGAAAACATGAGAAGAATCTCACCATTTTCAGAGTGACCCAAGTCACATATTAGAGCTAGCACATATTAGAGCTAGCACTGGGCAATAAGACTGGATTTGTTCTAGGAATGGTTCGTAATCACTGGTAAAGACACATTTAATCCACTTCTTGACATAATTTATCTATAATTTTGAATCAGATATATTAATTCTACCTTGAAAACCATAGGTATGTAATGTGTACACACAAAGTTGTGAAGTTAGAATTAGGTTCCATACAAACTGAAATATTTGTAATAATTTGTAAGTATATGTAAAGGTGTAGGTTTATACATAAGTTGTATATAGCATGTCTAAATGTGTGTTATGTATGTGTACACTTTGAGAGCAAGCAATTAAATTTCATTTTTAATGTGTGCCAATGTGCCTAGAGTAAAAAAAATGACAATAAAGGTTATCTTATCTATCTTATTTAAGCAAGTTAACACAACTGGAACAAAAAAGAAAACAACCAGACGCCTCCAAAAATGCACATACTCAGTGCTAGAGTATATAGCATCTAAGGAGCTTCTGCAATGTTCTTTGGAAAAACTAAACTGCTCAAACATTATGCAGAGAAATATTTCAGAACGCTAGACAGCTTTTGCTTTTGAAACCGTATCACTTGATATGCAAAACCAAACAGATCGATGTTTTTATTGTTACCATCAATTAAAGAGATTTAATAAATCAACACCTTTCATCCACATTAGCTGTTCCAAGCACTAACAATCCACCAGATAGTCCACGAGCCCACAGACACAGCTGGGCAAACAGATAGCCAATTACCATTCTTATTCTGGCCTAGAAGTTAAACATAGAAATTAGAAATTACTAAAGCTGGAATTTTCAAATGGTACACAAAGCACAGTAGGCATTATAGATAAAGGAGGAAGAGAGAGATCAAGACTATGATCAAGATAAGAGAGAACTGGGGAATTATGATAGTAGGGTAGAGAAGAAGAGTAAAACTGTTATTAGAGGGAAAGTATTTAACATCTCCAGATGAATTATGGATATAAAATCCAAAGTGCTTTCATCTTTCATATCTGTCCCAGGGAGGAAAAATCCTTTTCAAACCTTTGAATGAATACTGTCTTCATTTTTGTCCCCTTCTAATTCTAGAAAAATTGTAGAGGTGAGTATAAGGAATTAGGCTAGTTGTATTAAACAAATAAACCAACAATAAAATAGATGGTTAAAGCTGTTAACATTTATTTGAAATGAAACAAAACAAAAATATGAACTACCTGATTTCTCTATATGCATAATTACTGTTACAAAATGTACAGTATGAGATGTGGAAACTTTGACTGAGAATAACTAGCTTACGTCACCAACCAGGTTTCATGCTTAAGGCAAGACTGCAATTGATAGTGTCCTGGTTTCTAGCCTGATGCCTTAATAGATAGCCAGTCAGCTGACATGTGACTAGGATTTTTATTATACTGAGGGGTTCTTGGTGCTCTCTGAGTTGGGTTGTTTTCCTGCAGACATTTCATTACCCATCAATAACATCATCAGTGCTAGTAGGGAGTGGATTTTGCTCTCAGTTTATATTCTAGTGGCTTGCCTTGTCAGTGTTGGTAGGGGTGATCTTAGAGCAGAGGTCACCAACCTTTTGGGCACCAGGGACCGGTTACATGGAGAGAGATTTTTCCCCGGACCGGAGGGGGTGTGGTTTTGTTTGCTGCCTGTATCCTGTGGGTGGGGCTTTCCTTGTTTGTGCAGCCTGATTGCTGGCATGTCGTGGCCCGGTACTGGTCCACAGACCAGAAGTTGGGGACCCCTGTCTTAGAGGTTCTTTGGTTGGGCTGTCTACTGTTGGCTTGTTCGGCAGTTTCATGATTAGGGTATCGTTTACTTGATTGTTGGTCTGATGTTAATTTTGGAGTTCATCTATGCTCATCAGGGATGCTAAGGTCTTTTTGTTCCCCTTTTGCTTGTTGATTGTCTCTTTTGCATAGTTTATAGACATATTGTTTATGTCTATGTGTCTATTGATGGCGGATTTGTCAAAGTGGCAGGCCTCTAGAAATTCCCTAGCATTTTTGAACTTGGCTTCGTCTAGAATGGTCAGTTTCCCAATTGAAACTATGGTTAAGTCTCTCCATATCTTGTAAAATTGTAGAGTTTTTATCAAGTCTTCTGACTGCTAGTTGGTGTTCATGGATGCGTTCTGCCAGTTCTCTGCCTGTTTGTCCTACATCAGTGATGGCGAACCTTTTAGAGACCGAATGCCCCAAAACTGGCTCCGCCCCTGCTCCCCCCTGCTCTGCCCCGCCCGCACTCCACCCCACCCTGCCTGCCCGCAGGGCCACTCACCGCCTCCAGGGCCCACCACAGATCGCCCAGGCAGCCCAGCAGCACCATAGTGGCCAATATCTCTGCCCATGCCCTGCAGCATCAACTGTGCACGTTGGAGCATGAGGGCAGAGTCTTGTCTACACTGCCTGGCTGCCATGTCCTTGGCTGCGCTGCTCCACATGGACCATGTTCAAGGGTGACTCTCCTCCAGGGAGGCTGCTGGTGAGGAGGGGGTCGCAGGCGGAGGCAAGGCTGGGGCAATGGCATGTGTGCCTACAGAGAGGGCTCTGAGTGCCGCCTCTGGCACCCATGCTATAGGTTCACCATCACTGTCCTACATAGTGGTTGTTACAGTGATTACACTGCATGTTGTAGATGATTCCTGTTTTTTCTTCCAGGATTGTTGAGTCTTTCGGTTTGCTTATGATATCTTGAAGGGCTTTAGTTGGCTTGTGTGCTACGCTGATTCCACATGATTATAGTAGTCTGTTAGTGGTTTCTGAGATGTTCTTGATGTATGGCAGTGTTATTCTTTTTAGGATTTGTGTTGTATTGGGTTGAGTGGTCAGGCACTTTTTGATAAATATCCACACAACTTTAACATTAGACAATTAATCAAGTACACAATACTTTAATCATGAAACTGCCAAACAAGCAAACAGTAAACAGCCCAAGCAAAGAACCACCCCCATTAACACTGACAAGACAAGCCACTAGAATATAAACTGAGAGCAAATCCCACTCCGTAATAGCACTGATGATGTTACTGATGGGTAACGAAACGTCTGCAAAAAAACAACTATGCTCTAAGACCACCAAGGACCCCTCATTTCAACCCTGAGCTACAAATATTCTTCTTATTATACTACCTGCAGATTCTGTAGAGCCAGGTTTTCTCTCGTGCTTCCTCCATGTACTTGATATTGAGGTGATCGTCTCATCACAGTACTGAAAATAGCCAAAATGGCTTTTACTGCACCATCTATATTTACGTTGATATGATAGCTGGAGAAAGAACAGCCTTTTTAATTGTATCCAAAATAACAAATAAAACATGCACAACAGATTAATAATGAAAGGATGTAATTCAAAACTCAATAATACTTTCATCATTTCTTTTCTCTTTTTTTTGAGAGAGAAAATATTTTTTTTACTTATTTATTGATTGAATTTATATGCTGTTTATTTCAACCTGCAAAGTGACTTGGGCGGCTTACATTTAAAATCATAAATATAAAAATATTAAAAACATAAGATACAGAAATAAAAATTGACTTTTTGCATAAGCATGAAAAAAATGAACTTGGGCTGACCAGGTGCATCATAAAAAACACTTAAGACATATATATACGAGCATGCCATGTGTAGATTCTATACCTTGACCCTTATAACGGTCATACAAGTGTATGTACGGGCCCCCTTAATCATCAACCCTTGCTCTGATGATTGTCAACAGCTAGCTGACGAAAGCTAAGCAATAAAGAAGGCTATTTTTTATATCCCGGAGTTCATTATTTTATTTTTTACTGATTTTAAATGTCTACACCTGGGATTCCAGTGGGATTCCAGTGTATAAATTTATCAAACATATAGATACACACACACACACACACACACACACATATTAACAATAGAAGAACAGTGATTTCCAGGATAACAATAAAAACTACTGTTTATTAGTTAAGCTTTCGTCGGTCCCCTGCCGATGTCATCAGAGTAAAAACCAGGGATTTGAAGATCTGCTTATAAAGCTGGCTGTTTTTGCATTCTGCTCATAGAGCGTGTCACCGGTCTACCCGCCCCGGTTGGTCGTATTCGCTCTAGCTGCATCCAATCCACCTGCGTCCTTTTGAATTCCAGCACTTCCTCTCTTCCCATCATTGCCTCCCCCCCTGCTCCGCTTGTGTCTGGATGTTTATAGTTGTTGTCAAATCGCCCTTTAGTTTATCTCGTCATGTGACTCTCGTCCGGTATTGCATATTTGCTTATGGTAATGCCCTCCCCATATGCATATGGTAATGCCTACTCACACAATGGCAAGAGCCAAGTGATAATAAGGTGACACATACAATAAAATACTTGTCATTTTTTTGCCCCTTTATGGCTGCTGTTACCTTTATCGATATTTTTCCATTTAATATGTTTTGAATATTCTCTGGAATTTTGGGTAGATCTGCTTTTTTAAGTAATGCTGTATTTTTTCCTTTTGAAGTTTTCTCTGTATTATAAAGTGTCTCATAAAAATCTGATTATTTTTTTAATTGTATTATTATGAAACTGTAATGCACCTTTTGAATCTTGAACTTGTTTATCAATTTTTTCTCTTTCTCTTTTTTCAATTGATGTGCTAACCATCTCCTGGGTTTTGTTAGCATTTTTAAAGAAGTTCTGTTTAGCCCTTATAATTTGTTGAGCCATTGTTCCTGCCTCTACGAGGTTTAATTTATGCTTTATTATTTCCATTTGCTTTTTAAGTGTTTTCTTTTGTGCATCTATTTGTAATTCTAATTCTAATGTTCTAAATTCTTCCTTTAGCTTTAACTGTTATTGTCTTCTTTCTTTGTTCTTTTTAGCAATATAAATTATAGCCAACCCTCTAAAATATGTTTTAGCTGTATCCCACACATTTTGAAATGATAACTCTTCTTTCTTATTTATTTTGAAAACAAAAGTCCATTTCCTTTGTCGCTAGTTGTTTAAATTCTTTTTTCTTTCAATATAGATTTGTCCAGGGACCTACCGCATTTTTTTGTAAAATAGGAAATGTGTATGTGAGAGTGTGTGCACTAGGCTGAGAAAGATTGCTCTATAGCAACAAAATGAATTTATTAAAAATATGTCCCTAGTTGACCTCTGCTATAAAGAGTAAGAGACAACCTGGAGCTCTCCGATGTTTTCAATTACAACTCACATCAATTGTGTCAAGCATGACCAAGAATAAAGGAATGAGGAGAATAGTAATCTAGAACAGTTGGGATTAGATGGACTGTTGCTCTGACCTGAAAAAAACTTCTTCCTCAAATGTGATAAGATCATTTTGAAACCCTAGCTTACATTTAGGCCATGAACAAAAGAGCAGGTAGCATGGACTAAAAGTTCAGAAGCTGTAGTATTATTGGGTTGGTTCAGAAAACCTTTTTTTAAAAAAAACTGGCTATTGTGAAAGAATGTGTCACCCACCATCCTCAAATCACACCAGATTGGGGCTATTATGTTTTTTAAGGACACAATATATTTTAACTACTCAATGTTAATTTTTATACCTGCCTATTTCTTCAGCCAAAGTCTTGGCTCTGTCTTGAGTATCCTGAGAAGAATTCTCACTAGCCATGTAGCAAGTTGTTAAAAGACGGCCACACAGCTCCTGGGCTTCCTTTGGTATATACATTTCATCATTTACAATTCTGCGTACATCATTCAAAACTGTCTGATCTGAAAAAAGACAAGGGGGCAGGGAAAAGAGGAATGTGGACAAAACGTTATTTTCACATTTGCATGTAGAAAAACATAAAATTGAAAACCATTTATTTCACTTCAGAAAATAAATCCCTGCATTAAACAAAACTATTTAATTTAAGCCTGTTTAAATTTACAGATCAATGCACGTGTAAATTTACTTCTATTCCGAACAAGTTACTTAACCATGTTATGGCAAAAGAAAATAGTATCTTAAGTACAACAGAAATGTGTTTTAATTTACAGATTGGCGTAAGACTTAATTAACAACAACAACTTTATTGACACTTTGGATGTAGCCCAATCTGCATACATCAAAGGAGTGTATATCGGTCACCACCTCCGATATACACTCCTTGTTCGTGACCAGCTCAAGTTTCAGAACATCCATTTTAGTCTCTAAAATCAGGACATACATGCAATAATATTAAATTTGAGTGAGAGAATATTTAAGAAACATTTCTTGATTTCAAAAAGCAAGAGTTAAGCTTGTTTTTTATTCTGATACAGTATGTCCCTATGCATGTTTTATTCCAACATAGAACCAATTATTTTATCTATTTACAGGTAGTCCTTGACTTACAAGCACAACTGAGCCCAAAATTTTTGTTACTAAGTGAAACAGTTAAGTGAGTTTTGCCCCATTTTATGGACCTTTCTTGTCACCGTTGTTAAGCGAATCACTGCAGTTGTTAACTTAGTAACACGGCTGTTAAGTGAATCTGGCTTCCCCCACTGACTTTGCTTGTCAGACGGTTGATTCCATTCCAGCAACGGTCATAAACTATATGCCAATTGTCAAGCGTCCAAATTTTGGTCATATGACCATGTGGTTGCTGCAACAATTGTTAAGTGTAAAAAACAGTCATAAGTTATTTTTTTCATTGCCATTGTAACTTCAAATGGTCACTAAACAAATCGTTGCAAGTCGAGGAGTACCTGTACTCCTTTTGTTTTTAAATATCCTGCTTCCATAAGAGAGACAAGCACATGTTATAATCTTTGACTGAAATAATAATAATAGTAAAGTTGGAAGGGACCTTGGAGGTCATCTAGTCCAACCCCCTGCTCAGGCAGGTGACCCTATACCATTTCAAACAAATGGCTTGTCCGGTCTCTTCTTAAAAACTTTCAGTGTTGGAGCATTCACCGCTTCTGGAGGTAGGTTGTTCCACTGGTTAATTGTTCTAATTGTCAGGAAGTTTCTCCTTAGTTCTAGGTTGCTTCTCTCTTTGGTCAGTTTTCACCCATTGCTTCTTGTCCTGCCTTCAGGCGCTTTGGAAAATAGCTTGACTCCCTCTACTTTGTGGCAGCCCCTGAGATATTGGAACACTGGTATTATGTCCCCCCTCGTCCTTCTCTTCATTAAACTAAACATACCCAATTCCAGCAACCGTTCCTTGTATGTTTCAGCCTCCAGTCCCCTAATCATCTTTGTTGCTCTTTTCTGCACTTTCTAGAATCTCAACATCTTTTTTACATCGTGGTGACCAAAACTGGATGCAGTATTTCAAGTGTGGTCTTACCAAGGCATTGTAAAGTGGTATTAACACTTCACGTGATCTTGATTCTATCCCTCTGTTAATGCAGCCCAGCACTGCATCAATTGGACTAGAAAATTTAGCCTCGGCTGGATTTTTTTTAATGTTTTTATAAAAGATAGTTAATGGATAATGAAATGCACTTTATAGAATTTATATAGTATGGCAGGTTATTGATATGAAATTAGCATAATAAAATTAAGTTGGATATAGGGAGAATAAGGAATTAATAAAAATATTCTTCACAAACACAAAGATAATACCGTATATGCCGGCGTATAAGACGACCCGGCGAATAAGACGACCGTCTTCGGCGCCAAGTCACATGCCTAGAAAGTCATCTTATACGCCGGAAACTACCATTATTTCCAGCGTATAAGACGACTTGGCGTATAAGATGACCCCCGACTTTGGGGCCGATTTTAACACTTGCAAAAGTTGTCTTATACATCGGAAAGTATGGTATATAAGGTATGATAATGTTGCATGCTCTGTCAAGCAACCAGTAATCAGTGTCAAGAAGGCTATTGTCTTTAGATCTGCCTATGAGCCTCATATATATATTTGATTGTTAGTTATATAAAAAGACAGGACAGGAATACATGAGATGAGATGATAATCTTTATTGTCATTTTTTTACTGTGAACACACTGGTCCACATTAAAAATGAAATTCTCTTGCCTGCTCTCAAAAGAAAGTATAGATCTACCCATACACATACATATACACAAGCTATATGCACACATATATATGCCTACAGCCATACATATAAATATGCATATAAATATTAATCACTGTCCATTTTGAACACACAACGGAAAGAGGAAACTTCAGAGTTCACAAACTTGATTTCATATGGAAGAAAACTGTGGTTGAATCTGGATGTTCTGTTTCAGATACCACAAAGCCTCCACCCAAAAGCTAACAAGGAGAACAGAGGCTCAGAAGGGGCCCTGTCCCTAACTACTCAGGCTGTAAAGAAGGAGGCAGTGAGCGATATGTTAGTACAGCGGTTCTCAACCTATGGGTCGCGACCCCATTTGGGGTCGAACGACCATTTTACGGGGGTCGCCAAACAACATGATCCGCCATTTTCCCCCCTCAGGGGGCGCCGCCGCGCATGCGCACCGCGCATACGCACCGCGCATGCACGCCGCACATGGGGGTGGCGCCGCACATGCGCGCCGCGCATGGGGGGGCGCCGCGCATGCGTGCCACACCAAACGTTGAGAACCGCTGTGTTAGTATCTCTTTGCCCAGTTTCTCAAATCTTTTTGACATACCATTACAGGTAATCACAATAAAAAAAATGGACCCAAGGTTCAGTTTAACTTTTTCAAAGACACAAGTGTGTGTGTGGGGGGGAATCACACCACATATGGTAATGGAGCAGGTTTTGAGGGTACATTCAGAACACTTTCTTTGTTTTTAGTGATGGCATGCCTACTTTATGACTATACTTCTCTTTTCAAATGCCAGTAAATTATGCTATTAGTTTTTAGTAATTATAGTATTGAGAGTCCCTGGGAAATCTATGCATTCCTGAAAACACAAGCTGTGGAATGTCCATGGAGAAGTAGAGGAGATTACTGCCAGTACCACTTATAACTTCATTGTATGATTTCTCCTCCTCCCAACTTAATAATACAGCAGCATTTCAAAGAAGGCAACAGCAGCAATTATCTCAGGAAATTTTTGGCAATCAACACTGTAATTTTCTCCGGTGTAATTATATCTATAAACAGATATATTATAGCAACTTATATATTGCAGAAAAAGATGTGTGATTCAGATTATGGAACCCTTTGACCCTCCAAACAAAATACTCCTTCCAGAAAGTTCTAGATCTTTAAAACTAATTCCATCCTGTTTAGTTAACAAGTGCTCTAAGTATCGAAACATATCACCTATGTGGTTTTCAAATTGTGTGACAAAAAGACTTGCTTGAAAACCTCTTGGGAATATCTCAGTGAGAGAACTGGTAACAAAGGATCAACTATTCTTGATTTTGCTCACAGTGCTAATTTTTTTTCTAGAAAACACAGCTGTCATAGAGCACTGGACATTTTAGGTCATATGTATTATACAGAGAGACTAAAAAGTTAGACGTACCTATTAACAGTCTAACCAAAATACAACCTGGAATAGGTGGGTGTAGAACTTCAATTTCCAAGAGGCAAATGTGCATCTTTTCCCAGCATTGTATTACAGCTGTTGAAAGGCAGCTGCATGGTTTTTAAGATAAGATGCAGCTGCTTTAAGAAGTTGTCAACAGATGTTATATCCCTACCGTGTACTTCAAAGAATTCTATTTTCCCTTTCAAATCCAAAGCACTGCAGCCTTAATTATAATCACATGGTGCAATATTATGAAATTACAATTTCACATGGTGAAATGCTTAGAGAATTCTTTGCAGATATACTCATTTAATGGTCAAGGGTAACAGGTTCAGTTCCGTCTATACATTTCCTAAAAAGGATAATGTCAAATAATGTCAAAAATGATGGAGCCAGAGGGGCCAAGGATGTAATTCAATTTTTAAAAAATCTATATAATCAATGAATAAATTAAACACAGAAAGGGTTTCCTAGAAGTATGAAAACTAACATACCTACAAGTAACATTTGGTAATCCGTACTATTCAAATGCACTTACTTCCATTTTTTACTGCGTAACAAATCTGAAGACACATGGAATAGACAATGCAGGCTGCAGAAGAACTGTCCACACCACCACTAAGTGGCAAGAAAAATCCTCCCTTAACAATTACAATAAGGAAACCAAATTAGAACATTGTTGGGAACCATGTATTCAATTCTTCAAGAGTTGTCTTTTCAAACCATAATCTTATACTTCGACATTATTTAGTTCTAGTTGCATTATCCATGAATGGCCCATAATTATTAATGTCCAAAATGAAGGTTAATTTACCATTTTTAATCTATTTAAAAACAGATGTAGAAAATATTGTCTAAAATCCTACAGCGTAAAGATAAGACAAGAAGATCCTATTAGTTTGTCTGACACTATCTACTATTTGGATCCTCTCTTTTTGGAACTGTCTCTCTGAACAATGATAATTAAAGACAGCCATTACATAACAATATGGAAGAACTGGTATTTGAATACTTTTATATTCCCTTTCCCACCCTATCAGCCTTTCTGAATTATGACTCTTAACAGATAAATAAGCTCATAAAATATAAATTATGAGTGTTCTAGCAAGTGCACACTATATAAATGTACTTGGTAACTATATTATCAGTCCAACTAAATTTGCAAACCTACTTAAGGCAGCAATAGTGCAGTTAACCAACTGTAGCTTTTTTCCAAATTAAGTCCTTTTCTTTTGTTAAACGGAGGCAATTTCTATACCAGTGCCTCCCCGTGGAGCTTACTAAGTTTCCTGCCCCCACTTTCTAAAGATCCTCTAAAGCAGTGTTTCTCAACCTTGACAATTTTAAGGCGTGTGGACTTCAACTCCCAGAATTCCACAGCCAGCATTGGAAACTACTAACTTGCAGAGAAAAGCAGTAGCCTCAAGCAGTTTATTTTGTAGATTTATCTTTGGAGTTCATACAGATATCGAAGGAATTTTTCTTAAATAATATGGCAGTTGGCTATCACCTAATTAGAAGCCTATTCATCTGCCTAGGATAAAGATAAAAGTGAGCTGAGTTCTGGCCTAAGGAGTTTCCTACATTTCATGTATACAGTTCATATATACTCTCATAAATAAAGTTTCCTCCATTTATGAGAGTATGCATAGCATGCTCTTAATTTCTAAATATGCCTATTGACTCAAAGATTAGGGATCCCTGCTTTAAATCATTAGCAGATGGACAACGCTACAAACACAAGGCACCACTCATCCCAATCCCAATTCATGTTGCATTCATTTACTTCATATATGTCAAAAATTTCAGCTGCAAAGCCACTAGGACAAGAGTGTCAAATTGCCGGTCCGCAGGCCGGATGCGTCATGCCGAAACCACGCCCACCCTACTGCCGGCAATGGAAAAAAAGTTACGACACATCACGTGATGTTGCGAGTTGGACACCCCTGCACTAAGGCATTATCCCTTTGCTCAGTGTAAAACCCTCTAATATAATAATAGGGAACTATGCTTTATGGAAAGCGGGAAAGAGAACAAGCTCAGGCAGCAAGACGTTTTACCAATGGCAAAATGCTCATTCCCAAGCTCTTTCTGTGTAAAACCACTTTCAGTTTCATTCCAACTGCTCTAGAGCCAGATCCAAAACTCAAGCTGCCAAAAAGATAATATAGGATGATGTAGGTGATGAGTCTGATCATAAACAGCACAAAGGCAGCATATGTAGGTCCATTAAGCCACTGCAAGTTTCTAGTTATATATATGTGTGTGTGTGTGTGTGTGTGTGTGTGTGTGTGTGTGTGTGTGTTCATATTCTTAAGAATATTAAAAATAAAAAGGTGATTCCTGGGTAAACTCGTGTTTAGCTAGTGACGAGATCCATGAGCCAGGCGCAAAGAACGCCACAGCCATAAATAGCCTCTCCCATCGACTGGAAACCACCCTGACGATGCCGGCAGTTGCCGGCGAAAGCTTGGTGTTTTAAATTTATTAAATTTATTAAAAACTTTTTATAGTTTTATAATTTCCTGGTGTTCTTGCATTTATTGCTAGCTAATTTTGCTAAATTTTGCTCCTAGAAGCACGAAGCCGGAAGCACCAGCCTGAAGATGACGAATGAGACTTCGTCGAAACGTCGCCAAGACACTTCCATTTTGAAGCGGGAAAAAACCCAAATAACCAAAGACCTACACACAAATACCCGCGAAAACCTCAGAAAACATATATGTTTTCGCGGGTATTTGTATGTAGGTCTTTGGTTATTCGGGTTTTTCTCCGACGTTTGTCCCATTCGTCATCTTCAGGCTGGTGTTTTCAGCTTTGTGCTCCTCGAAGCACGAAGCTGAAAACACCAGCCTGAAGATGACGAATGGGACTTCGTCGAAACGTCGCCAAGACACTTCCAATTTTACGCGGGAGAAAACCCAAATAACCAAAGACCTACATGTATGTATGTATGTATGTATATGTATCTTCCCTTCTTTCCCCAAATCTTCATACAGATTTTACCACTGCTTAGAACTCAAGTTAATAACAAATTAAAATCTTTACCTGTTTACTACACCTTAAATAGTCCCAAAGCCAACATGCTGGACCTAGGCTGAAATTTAACAGCAGACATATTTTAAAACAAATATAAAAAGTACACTTTTACAAAATCATGTCATTTCTCTTCCTGGGATCACAAATTACCATCATGAATGTTTTATAGTAAAACAATGCTCCTTTATTTATGCTGAGCACAATTATCCATTATATACAGCACAATTATGTAGGATTACTCAGAAGAAATTCCAAAGAGCCTAGGTTTTATTCAAAGTTCTTTTGCCTTCACTGCAGCTGAAGGTTCTTACCCTAAATGAAAAGTCCTTCGTTCAAGAAAAGATAATTTCCAAAGGTATATGATCTCATAGGAGAGTTTTCCAATGTTCCCGGCTTTGCGAACTAGTGGGGGGGGAGGGGATGATTCATGCAAGCAGCTAGCAATCACACGCGCAGCTTCATTTCCATGAACGGAATGCCTGCCACTCACGCAAATGGAACACGCATGTGCTCGCCCAAGTGAGGATGTGTGCGCATGCACGCATGCTCACTGGTTGTTTCCACAGCCCAGTTGCAAACCTCTCACAGTCCAGTAGTGGGCCATGGCCCTCAGTTTGGATATCCCTGCCATAGGACATCATTTTATGCAAATTTAAATTGGGATTCTTTATGGATTATGCAGATGTTGCACTAGTTAAGTAGTTAAACTAGTTAAACCCTTAGCTGTAACACAGAAACCGGGCTAAGAGAAGAGGATTTTCCTCTCTACTAATTCTGTCTACAAGATCACTCCACGGAACAGCACAATTGAACTAAAAAGAATGAAGATGGAATGAGTAAAGTCTATAGGAATTACACCTAACCAAACCTAACCTCTACCAATTCTGAGTATATGCTGCTATGTCCCTCTGCTATGTGGGCCTCCCCTCCCTATAGCTTCCAGCCACATATCCTTGGTGCAGGCAGAGCCATACATAACCCATTTTTGCCTACCTGATCTCTTCCTCAGGACTATGATACTTCCACTGGATAGGTTCACTTGTGGGTGTGCAGATATCATCAGAACTTGACAATGCAAAGTTTACTTTTATTCTAGGATAAGGAGTCACTTTGCTTGCCTGGTCAGTTAAAAAAGAGAAATAATGTCATACCACACAGATGACATAATGTTTTTCATAAAAGCAATGTATCTGACAATTCTGCTTAATGTTCATTGCTGGTAAAGACTTATGCCTAGCACACATTGTTAAGCTTATAAGGGGAAAAAATGAAAACACAAGCAAGAAATACTTACTGCTAAATTTCGGGACGATATTTCTGCTCTATAACTTCTGACATCTTCTAAATCCAAAGTGGCAACAAGAACTTCCTGAAAAAAGTGACAAGAGAAGCTGATATCCTTCTAGATACAATATTTTCAAAACCATTTTTCACTAGAGGTCTATAGTGGAATTGTAGTGTAACTAGTTTTATATAGTTTATATTGGAGGCACAAAAGCACTTTGATCTTATTTAATCCCGCCGATACTGATAAAATTCCTGTTATGTGCCAACCCTCACAGATAGGAGTATTCTTTGAATTCAGTAATGTATATTAACCAACATAATCAACCACTGCACCCCCTGCTAGAGCATTACTATGTCATCCAGTGAAAACTGACGTCCTTGAGCAACTGTAGCACCATTCATAGATATCATGGCACATCCATCATAATACAAGCGATCACCATCACAGCCTTTCTGGTTTGCCAAGACGTAGATTCCTCCATTCTGGAAAAAGATATATATTAGTGTAAATGCAGGTGCTTCTAATTACAACAACCTTTTACTGTACTTTTAGACAGTACAGAAAATGTTTTGCAATCTTATTTAGGACAGCACAGCACCACTATTTCGGCTATCGCTGAAGCAATCCAGAAGCACAGTAATGTTTACTTTTAGGCAAAAGCAAGCCAGTGCATGTCAAAAAATTCATTTTACTATAGCAGAACAATCATGAATCTGTTTTAAGATTTGGAAACCTTTAATAGGTACAATGCAAATCTGCAACTGCAACCAGTTGCTTTTCTACACAGAGATGATTTCTGGTGACAGAATAGTAAGAAGTTATAAGGAGAAGATGTACTGACACATCACAGTATCTTATTCCCATCACCAGGAGAGCCTCAGGATAATTCACAAATCATCCTGAGTCATGTAACAAAAATTTAAAAAATATCACATTAAAAATATGCCAGGAACATACCTTTGCTGTTGCAGAATTTACCAACTCCACTCGAGTGTGTGCTTTTCTTAAGACATGGTGACTTGCAGAGGAATTTGTGAAGATTTCCACACCATCAATTCCCATTTCAATGTGAGGGCTATAAAATAAATAGCAAGCAAATAAATAGCTTGCCTACATGAATCCAAAAGATTTATTTTACTATTATGATATGCTACAAAAGAGTAAAAGAACTGAGCAGTTAATGGAATTTGTAATCCAGCAGGAGATCCTGTTTGTTTGAAAAGTACAAACTCAATGAAATTGTTATTGATTGACTGTCTGACTTACTAACCATAATGGCAAGCCAAAACTTAATTTTAATGGTATGTTTGAGGAGTGGAGTTGGGGTTGGGGTGAATGAAGTTAAAGATTTCTCCTCTTGGGTTGCTGGAATTGTTTTATAAATGCAATCTGTAGTTAACAGTGAAAGCTGAAATAATTGGAGCGTCTAAGCAACCAGCAACCAGCTTTGGAGAAAGCTGGCTCCCAGATATAGTTGGGACCAACAGAAGCTGGAGAATATGTTGGAGACACAGCAGTTTGGTCAGTCTTGGGGATCAGCTATTCAACTACAGCAATGCCACAGATCAACTATTGTGAGGTGCAGAGTGCAAGCCTGGAGGCACCACCAATCAGCTGTTAAACTGATGAGCACCAACGACAGTAGAACTGAAGATTTTCATGGGAGTAGTAGACATATACCCAGTGGCATCTGTAGGTTTCTTGTTCAACTTGTCAGAGGTGGTGATGTCAGAGGTGATGATGTCAAATCTACAAGGCCTTAATGTGATGGAAACCTAGCATGCTTGGGTGCAATGAATATTATTACTCAAGAGGAAATGGATCATCGGGAGCCCTTTCAGTCAGGTTTCAGGACCACAAGTAGTACTCAAATGGCATTGCCTGAGCTTGTAGATCAGTGTTTCTCAACCTTGACAATTTTAAGGCATGTGGACTTCAACTCCCAGAATTCCACAGCCAGCATTGCTGGCTGTGGAATTCTGGGAGTTGAAGTCCACATGCCTTAAAATTGTCAAGGTTGAGAAACACTGTTGTAGATGATCTTTAATGGGGATGGTGCATCCATCCCAACTCTCCTTGATCTCTCCAGGATCTTCGATACAACTGATCATAGTATCATTTTGGATGATATGGTCATTAAGACCCTTCATTCAGCATTGCCATAACTTTAAACAGTCACTGAATGAAAGGTCATAAGTCAAGAATTACTTGTACATTACAGCCCAACAGTGGGATTATGAGTTTACTTGGCTTTTTTGTGATTGTCCTGGTGTTAATAGGTAAAGAAAGATAAGGTTCCTCTGAAGGAGTCAGTGGTATTAACATAGAGGGATATTCTAACAAATATGACTATATATCCCTAATAATTATGGCATTTCCATTTGGGCAACAAATGTATCTGCATAGTGTATCTAGCAAGCTTTGATTTGTTGTGTTTTGTTTTAGCAGAAGCCTATCAAAAAATTCAAAATTAAGCACTGAAGAAACAATATTCAATTTCTTAAAAGATTTCCTTGTGTACAGAAATTAGCGCAGTTAACATTTCTAAATGAACTATAAAGAAGACTTAAGCCTATTCCTTTCACCTGGTTGGTATCCATAATTCTTCACAGATTTCAGTCCCAATGCAAGTATCCAAAGTTGCTAGTACTGCATCACCAAATGGAACGCTGTCCTAAGATAAACAAAGAATGTGGATGGACCATCAGAAATGAAATAAAAGGAATCCATAACTGGAACTATGATCAATAGAAATGAAGATATTTGTCCCAAGTGTGGTTAAGATATAGGTAGTGTGCTCAATATCCAAATGCAAGGAAAATTACCCTGCCAATCAGAAGCATTGGGGCAATAACTCAAAAGATGTTGGGCAAATGGAAAGGGAAAATGAAATACTTAGCTGCAGGTTTAGATAACTTCTATTCTAGCCAAGATTCTGAAAATCTAAAATTAATTAATTAAAATCTGTTTTTAAAAATCCCTACAAGAATACTTTCCGCCCCTGTTCTTGATGAAAAACATGGTCTTCACCACATTTTAGGATGTCAAGAGTATGAAGGCTGTCTGAATAATCATGGGATAAGGTTTTCTAAAGGGATGGGGCTGCCAATGACACTACATGCTTGCACATTTTTCTCAGACTCCCAAGAGGAAGGAATCTGCTGATCTACCTCCAAGCTAATTCACATAATGGGTACATTCTAGTCAAAGATGATGGTCCCAGAGAAAAGATGGCTCCATGCCACATAGGGCCTATAATCAGAACTTTGAATAGTACTTGGAAACATGCCATCAGCCAATGGTCTGCTGCTGGCTGCATGCTCCTAAAGTGGCTCTCATCTGCTAGCAACTTGGCTGCTACATGTTATACCAAATGAAATTTTCAAGTAGCCTTCAAAGGCAGCCCCAAGTAGGAATGGACTTTTGTCTTGCTATTATTTTCATATGTTAAACTTTTCTATTTTGTATGTATCTAATCCAATCCAATCAAAATTTTATTACAGTCATAGACTTGCATATGTGTGCACCAAGAATCTGCTGCTGTTCAGTGCTGAATTTCAGTAGAATGAGTTTTGGGAATTCCAACAGATAGAAAGAAAAGATTCTGGGACTGCATTCATTCTGTAAGCAACAGGTTGACTGCCCGTATTATACTGGTTTCTGAAACCATAGTATAGCTCCATTAAAAACTTATCATCTATCTGGTATATGTCTGTCAGGTATATGTCTATGAACTGAAGAAGCTTTTTGGAGGAGAAGTAAAACATTTTCAAAGGAAAAAACAAACCAAGATAGAAAAAGTACCATTAGGACTACCAGCTATAGTCAATCTAACTACTATGGTATGGATTTTATGTAAGTCTCCTATAAGCTTCAGGTACAAAAATATTTGGTAATTATAAATAATACAGTACTTCCTTATGTTACTAAGCAGCAAAGTTAAATATTTAAGACTTACTTTCTTAAATATTAATAAAGCCTGAACTGACTTTTTAGATAAAGGCCGTATTTTTCAAAATAGGCACATGCAGTATACAATTTTTTTGTATCTTGCTAGTAAAAGATCTATCACTTTTAAGAAAAGTTTAGGAAAAAAATTAAGCAGCCCAAGGTTTATTTCAGCTTTTCCTTAAGTGCATTTCACAGGTCATAATAGTTCATTAGGTCAATGAACTATTTTTATTTAATTATATCTCAAAAGTTAAGAGAAATGAAGCAATATTAAAAGTTATTGGTTATACAACTGCAATTCCAAAGAGGCTAAGAAAATCATCATCCAACTTGGTGTCTCCCTATAATTGGATAACAACTCCAAGAATTCCCAAAGAGGAAAGACTTGAATTTCATTTCAGCCACTTACCTAGACCTTCAGAAAATTAAAACATTCTTGATTGGTCCTACCAGATGAAATATTATACAAGCAAACACTTGTTTGAATATGGCTAAATAAACAACTTTGGCTATAAACCCGTTTATAGTCAAAGTTGTTTATTTAGCCATATTCAAACAAGTGTTTGCTTGTATAAACCCGTTTATAGCCAAAGTTATTTATTTATTTAGCCATATTCGGGTTTTAGAATAAGTGGAATAAGAGATATAAGTAATATGGTATTTTTTGATAAGATACAAAATGTAAAAATATTGGGATGATGAAAGTGAAAGAAAACTTTGAACTTTAAAGACATATTAAGTTTGAAAAGATTTAGGATTAAGGAATGATTGAAATATTGAGGGGAAATTAGGCTTAATAAGAACTTTGAAAAAAGTTATATAGTGATTTAATTAATTTTTACAAATAGAAGTGAAATATAAATTAATTAGAAAAGATGTTATAGGTAGATGCTATGATAGATAAGTAGTATAGTATTTCTATAATATATGAAATATGAAAATACTGGGATGATATATTTAAGTGGAAAATTTGGATATTTAGATGTTAATTATTGAGAAAATTATGATTGATATGAATTGTTCAAATATTATGGAGAAATTGAGCTTAAACAAGATTTATAAAAGTAAGATATATGGTGAATCAATAAGGTGACTTTTATGAAAATAACATAAGTTGATAAGAAAAAAATGCTATATATGGACGCTATTATTGTTGGTATACATATAGAAGAAAATGTTTTTATTTAATCATTTATGTATAAATAATATCAAATATCAAAAATTATATTTGTTTAATGCTGAAGAAGGAGAATACTATTGGGAGAAGAGAGGATCAAGGAAATATCCATTGATATTCTAATTATGGAAATATAAAAATAAATTATTATTGACTGTTAATTAACTATTATTGATTGTAAAAAATAATTCATGAACCAAGATAACATGCTATACACCAGGCACTAAGGCTGTTATTGTAAAAAATCAATAAAACAAAAAGAAAAAGAAAATTAAAACATTCTTGAATCCAGGAGAAAAGAATATTACCTGAGATGTAATCTCTTGTATCATTCTTGGAAGAAAATATTCTTCTATATGTCTAGTAAAAAAAAAATTCAAACATTTTCATATAACATATTTTAAAGAGACAGTTAACAATCTTCATTGTATCTGTGCCCCATGCAACTTAAGTACAATACTGGTCACTTTTTGCACAGGTTTTTTTACTTGTACTATTGTTGCCCTTGATTTGGAATAACTGGTATACTGCAGAGATGCTTGTGGGAAAAATATTGAACATAAATAAACAAGTAGTTCTCAGTTTTATCTAGTGATCATAGCTTGCATTATTCTATGCAATTAAGATTATTGGAATCTACAGTGTCTTCCAAAGGCATCATATTATTACATGTCTGCCATCACTTTGCACTATGGCGAACCTTTTAGAGACCAAGTGCCCAAACTGCAACCCAAAACCCACTTATTTATTGCCTGATGCCAGGTGGCCATGGCCCACTGGGTGGGCATGGCTGTGGTGGTCATGGCAGACTGGGTGGGTGTGGTCACCTCAATGTTGCTCGTGGGGAGGGATGCCTGTGGGGGCTGGGCAGGGTTGGGGGAGATCCAGGGGGTCTCTGGCAGGTGGGGCAATGAGGAGGAGTCTGGTCCTACAGGTTGAGGCAAGGCGAGGCAGGGCAGGGGTGCCATTGTCGCCGGGCAAGGCGAGGCAGGGGCCGGGGTGGCTGCTGCCTGATACCATTGGCCCCCCGCACACAGAGGTCAGCAAGCGCATGGGTGCTGGGATGCATCCAGCCATGTGGGACCTTGGTGACTTAGCGGGCAGCTGATTGAAGAGGGGCAGTTGCCATCTCCAGGGCATGGCGCGCATGCCCACAGAAAGGGCTCTGAGTGCCGCCTCTGGCACACGTGCCATAGGTTCGCCACCACTGCACTATGCAGTAATGACATAGATTAGAATACAGGGATGCTAATATAATAAATATTTTTAAAATAGCAATGTCTTCTGAAAGATCTTTTAATGCAGACTTGCAGTGGCAAACATCAAGGATAACCCAAATTTTCAGACTAATTTGGCCAGAAGCAAATATAAGGAAGAGAGGTTACCGTGATCTATTCCAAGGAGTGAACCACCTCATTTCTCGATAGTTTCCTGAATTTGCCAATGCTATCTTCGGCCTTATCAGAAGAATTTTCCTTGATCAAAACAAAAAGAAAACCTGTTACAAGCATATACTATGAAAATGGGAGACGACTTGTTTTAAATCATAACTTACCATATTTGAAATATACTATATCCACTAAAAAATGAGTCAAACTTACAAATTCTAGGCTATGTGAACAGAATTATAACAAGAAGCTATGATTCTAGCCGTTCCATATAAAGTTATGTGGGTTGATAGCATGTTTTCTCTAGAGTTGCTTCAACGTTGTGAAACATTTTGCCTCCTGAAAAAGGAGCACCTCCTTGTCTTTTAAGTTTCCTTAAAAGCTGTTTGCTCCATTGAGCATTCAAAGCTTCATGCAGGTCTCTAATAGATGAAATAGGCTGAAGTTATTTACATTATAAGTATCTTTCAAGCCTGGAGGAGATGAGATGAGATGTCAGGATTTAACTAGACAGACTCAGCAACCAAAGACCTTTTTCATAAGGTTGCAAGATAAACATACTGGTTTCTCCATTAGCCATAGAAGGTTAATTGCATAAGCAACATTTGATTTAAGCAAATAAACATATCCCATCCAACTTGTGTTTGATTTCGAAGTGAAACTCAGCATGTCAAACAGTAAATCGCTTTATAATGTTGAACTGTTCCTACTATTCAGCAATTAACTAGGTTATTGTCCGAAACAGTAATGTTTTCATTCCTGTATCAAGGGATATAATCCAAATGCAGTTACAGTAAATTTCCCCCTTAGAGTTAAAGGCTTTAACTACATTTGGTAAGCAATGTCTGAATGGCTAGCTGATTTTCAGATCCTCTTCTCTCTCAAAATTCTATGAATGGTAAATCTTTAGAAGCAATGTTGTCCTTCATTTTCAGTGATTTTCCTTTCGCCAAGGAACTCTTCCGTGTTATTAGGACTATCCTAGAACAGGCAAAGCTTCAGAAGCATTTATTCATTCTGGAAATACTTCATTCTGGCAAAATCTTCAAAAGCCAATGTTGTCTAAATAAACTCTAATGTGAAAAACCGCAGTATGTGCATTAAAACCTTAATTATTTCACTGCCAATTTTCCTCAGGCTTCAGATTATCAGTTTCAGGCAGAGCTTGACTAATTGGGATCACAGGACAGGATGGCAGACAGCATTTATTTGTTTGTGTGATTGATTGATTTGAAGTTGGCCAACTCAATCAAGTGACTCTGGGCAGCTTACAAAACAGTATCTTTAATGTTTTATAAATCAACTTGGAGGCTAAAACATATAAGGAACGGTTGCTAGAATTGGGTATGTCTAGTTTAACGAAGAGAAGGACAAGGGGGGACATGATAGCAGTATTCCAATATCTCAGGGGCTGCCATAAAGAAGAGGGAATTAAGCTATTTTCCAAAGCACCTGAAGGCAGGACAAGAAGCAACGGGTGGAAACTAATCAAGGAGAGAAGCAACCTAGAACTAAGGAGAAACTTCCTGACAGTGAGAACAATTAATCAGTGGAACAGCTTGCCTCCAGAAGCAGTAAATGCTCCAACACTGGAAGTTTTTAAGAAGAGACTGGACAGCCATTTGTCCGAAATGGTGTAGGGTTTCCTGCCCGAGCAGGGGGTTGGACTAGATGACCTCCAAGGTCCCTTCCAACTTTACTATTATTATTATTATTATTATTATTATTATTATAACTTGTGTTTATTTCATTGACTGATTTTCATAGTTGCCCATCTCAACCAAGTGACTCTGGCAGCTTACAAAACAGTATTTCTAATTACTTACTTGTTTAGAAAAATTACTCTACAGTTGTAACGAACATTCCGGTGCATAATAGGCCTATAGAAATAAAGATATTAAGTTATACATTTCCTTACTTAAAATTGGATCCTTTTTATTTTAAGAATATAAACTGATTTCGGATTGCATTCAAATTTTTTTTAACCATGTGCAAAAAATATTTATTATTTCTGTTTGTATCTATTACAATCTCATATTAAGATGATCAAAAGTATATTCCAAATAATCTGTTTGCATTGCTGTCATCTATTGTATATAAGGAGAAGCCAAATGTAAATCTTTTAAACTACCTTGTTATTATAAAACAGTCTCCTAATGCAAAAAGAGCAAAGCATGCAAAAAGAGAAGCTACCTTCTGGTTGGTGATTCAATTATAAGGGATGTAAATTTAGGAAAGGATACAGAGGTTTCGAAAGAGGTCAGGTGTCTTCTAGGTCAGCAGGGACAAGAAGCATACTTTTAAGATAGTCAAGAATGCCAGCAAGGACTGTGATGTGAATGCTATTGTACATCTTGGCATTAATGATTTGTCCCAAAAAGTTGTACTCTCTATGCAGAATGATTTCCAGAGCTTGGGACAGGAACTTAGCAGAATAGGCTGTAGACTTACTTTTTCAGAGATTTTACCAGTGTATAAGGAACAAAATGGAAAAGGCCAGCATATAGCAGAATTCAATATGTGGCTAAAGGAGTGGTGTAAAGGGGAAGGCTTTGGTTATATTAGTCACAATGTCTGTAGCTGATCCAATGAAAAAATGTACAAAAGAGGTGGTTTGCATCTATCAAAGAAAGGGACTGAGTTACTTGGCAATAAATTCACAGATTTTCGGGAAAAATATTTAAACTGAACAATGGGGACAGTGAGTTAATTGATATAGAACATTCCTGTCCCCGGCAATCTAAAAAATAAAGGTTTATCAGTGCATGTAACATAGATGTTTTGCTGTCATGCAAAATCAAGCTTTTAATAGTGAGTGTCACACCAAGTGCACTAATCAAACAAGTGGTAAGAAAACAGGGGAACTCAGGCACCACACAGGTCATGCAGAAAGTAAACACGGGGTCAGTTATAAAGGACTCAAATGTCTATACACCAACACCAATGCACAGAGTATGAGCAATGAACAGGGTGAATTAGAAATTCAGGTAAATGAGGGCAGATATGATATTGTTGCCATTACGGAAACTTGGTGGGATGAAACCCACAAATGGAACACACAGCTAGAGGGATTTAACTTATTTAAAAGAAACAGACCAAACAAAAGAGTAGGTAGAGTTTCTCTCTATATAAGAAATAACTATATCTCTACAGAAATGGAGCACAACAATGATGAAAACTGTCCTGACTGCATTTGGCTCAATTTAAAAGGGGGGAAAATAACATAGGCCACCCATCCAAACAGAGGAACTAGATGAACTTTTTGCTAGTCAGTTAACTAAGGTATGTAGGAAGCACATCACAATAGTAATGGGGGACTTTAATTACTGTGACATTAACTGGGAGACAAATTCTGCACCAAGTGGAAGATCAAATAAATTCCTAACAAACCTAGCAACAATTTTGTCTCCCAAAAATAGACAAGGGAACTAGGGGATCAGCCATATTGGACTTAATTCTCACGAACAGAGATAAAATGATAGAAGGCGTTGAAGCCACAGGAACCTTGGAGGGAAGTGATCATGCAATATTGGAATTCAGCACTATGCAAGCACAAGCAATGGAACATAATCAAACTAGAGTCTTGGACTTTAAGAGAGCTAATTTCAATAAACTTAGAGAGAGCTTGGGAAGGATTCCATGGATAAGAATCCTCAAGGGGAAAACAATTCAAGAAGCTTGGGAAATTTTGAAAAGTGAGATTATAAAAGCCCAGTCTAGCACAATACCAAAGAAGAAAAATAACAGCTTTCAAAAGAAACCAGCATGGCTGCATAAAGAACTCTCTAATAAATTAAAAGATAAAAAGGACAAGTATAAAAAGTGGAAAGAGGGACACATAACTAAGGCAGAATATCAGCAAATAGCCCGAGCCTGCAAAGATGAAGTGAGGAAAGCTAAGGTTCAAACTGAACTAAGGCTTGCGACAAAACTCAAAAATAACAAAAAAAGCTTCTTTCAACATGTATAAAACAAGAAAAAAGTCTAAGGAAATGATTGGCCCATTAGTTGGAGAAAGTGGCAAGAAGGTGACAAGCAACAGGGAGAAAGCAGAACTACTTAACTCATTTTTTGTATCCGTCTTTACATAAAGGGAAAAAACAGTCCAACCTATCAAAAACAGTACCATAAAAAATAGATTAGAAACATAAGTTAAGATAGGCAAGAAAATGGTAAGTGAACACCTGTCTACCCTAGACGAATTCAAATTACCAGGACCAGATGGATTACACCCCAAGGAACTGGCAGAACCACTGAACTATATTTTTCAAAGATCCTGGAGCACTGGAGAACTACCAGAGGACTGGAAAAGAGCTGATGAAGTTCCCATCTTCAAAAAAGGGGAAAAAATGGATCTAGGAAACTACAGACCTATCAGCCTGACCTCAATACCTGGGAAGATTCTGGAAAAGATAATCAAGCAAAGAATCAACAAACATCTAGAGACAAACAAAGTCATTATCAAAAGCCAACGTGGGTTTGTCAATAACAGACAAATCTTATTGAATTCTTTGACCAGGTGACAAAATTAGTGGACCAAAGGAATGCTGTGGATATAATTTACTTGGACTTCAGTAAGGCATTTGATAAAGTAGACCACAACCTACTACTTGATAACAAAAAAATGGGGTTAGACAGCATCACCACCAGATGGATTCATAGCTAGCTGACCGGCTTTACTCAGCGTGTGGTCCTCAATGGAACTGCATCTACATGGAGGGAAGTATGTAGTTGGGTGCTCCAGGGCTCTGTTCTAGGCCCAGTGCTATTCAACATCTTCATCAATGATTTGTATGAGGGGATAGATGGGGAACTCATCAAATTTGCATATGACACCAAGCTGGCAGGAATAGCCAACACTCCAGAAGCCAGGCAAAGGATCTTGACAGACTTGATCATTGGGCACTATCTAACAAAATGAAATTCAATGGTGAAAAAAATTCTACATTTAGGCAAGAAAAACCAAATGCACAGGTATAGTATAGGTGATACCTTGCTCAATAGTAGTAACTGTGAGAAGGATCTCAGAATCTTAGTGAACAATCACTTAAATATGAGCCAGCGGTGTGCTGCAGTTGCCAAAAAAGCCAACACAGTGCTAGGCTGTATTAACAGAGGGGTAGAATCAAAATCATGTGAAGTGAGTACAGAGAAGAACAACAAAGATGATCAGGGGACTGATCATATAAGGAACGGTTGCTGGAATTGGGTATGTCTAGTTTAATGAGGAGAAAGACGAGGGGGGACATGATAGCAGTGTTCCAATATCTCAGGGGCTGCCATAAAGAAGAGAGAGTCAAGCTATTCTCCAAAGCACCTGAAGGCAGGACAAGAAGCAGTGGATGGAAACTATTCAAAGAGAGAAGCAACTTAGAACTAAGGAGAAATTTCCTGACAATTAGAACAATTAATCAGTGGAAGAACCTGCCTCCAGAAGTTGTGAATGCTCCAACACTATTTGTCTGAAATGGTATAGGGTTTCCTGCCTGAGCAGGGGATTCGACAAGATGACCTCCAAAGTCCCTTCCAACTTTTATTTATTTATTCATTCATTCATTCATTCATTTATTTATTATTATTATTATTATCCTCACTATGCAATGACGTAATTACACACTTACATCCCAATATCACATATTATGTCCTCAGTACCAGGAGATTCCAAAAGCTTAGCCAAAACTTGAAACGAATGTAATAGTATGTCAGATTCATAATAATGATCTGAACAGCCATAACCACTGCAAAACAAAATAGAGATATGGATAACAAAAAATCCCGTACTATTTGCAAGAGATGAATTTTCTAAATTATATTATATCAATAAAAACACATTTATTCACCTTATTTATGCAGAATTAATTTATTAATTTATTAAAATAAGTGTCAGAGAAACTGGGTATGTGTAACAAAGCATGTTGTTGGATTACTATCTCTATTTTATTTTTATTTATTAAAATTTTTAAACTACCTAATAACTAAAGCTCTCTAGGCAGTTTATAAGAAAACATACCAACATCTGAATAAAAACATCTACAATAAAATGAAATGAAATGCAAAATGCAAGCACTGCACAAAATAGATGGCAACAAGGTAATCATTCAAAAACTAAAACAATATGAATTAAAATACAGTTAAAATACAATTTTAAATCAATTAAAAGCAGGGAAAATTGAAAGATCTAATTTTGGTGCCAAAATTTTGCTAATGTGAATACCATTGAAAGCAATACTCTTTTGGAACATTGGCCTCATATTGCATCATTTTAAATCAGATTTATAACTCATCCATGGTCCAGTAGAATAGAATCTATAGTCTATTAACATCTGGAATACCGAACTATTGCAATTTCTATATAATTTTTCTTTTGTCATTGATGAAAATGATGAATATTTATATATGATATCCATATTCTCCCTACCATTCAATAACCAAGTACCACAATTAACCATCCTGAGCAGATACCATTCTATAAAAAGAAGGCACTTATTTTGTTACATTGAAGGGAATAAAACAGATATTATATCCTTCATGTTTCTAGATAGTTCTCTTGAGGTCTACCAGGTTTTATGTTCCACTTCATTTTTCATTAAAAAAAGGAAAAGAAAATGCATGTTGCAAAGCAAAGTACAAGTCTCTAACATCTTAATTTCCAGAAATACCTCTGGATTCCCAAATTTTCTTACGTAAGTAAGAATACATAGGTACAGCCCAGTGCTAAGAGATGTGCCTATATGGCCAAAGAAAGGCTAAGTTAATAAAAGTTGATAATGAATCTTGGGGTGGGGGTTACGGGATGCCAGGTAGCATCTTGACCAATTTGTTCTTTTTATCTAATTATGTCCCTCCAGTAGGCATTTTGTGACTGTGCATGCACTCCCCCAATAGCCATCTTATAAGATAAAGTTTCAAAATATGAAATGCACCCAGCATCCCTAAAAAGTTGAGAGTAACTGGTTTATACAAACAAGTTGGTAATTACTAACCAAATTTCAAGTTCTGGGCCGAGTCGATATCTTGCTCCTTTTTCTTTAGCAATTTCAATACCTAGGAGATTAAATTATAATTTTTATCCATCTACAATATGTTGACAGAGAAAGCTTCCCATGCTTTGAAATATAGGGAGTGTTGTGTGTATCCTCTGATTTTGCAAAGCAAGAAAAGAATATTCAAGCACAAGACTAAGAACACAAAACAACTGAGCTTTTCAGAAACTTTTTACAACCAAGTTCCTATTCCTCATACTTTCTAAAAGCAAGTTCTTAGTTCAGAGAACAGGTAAGCTAAGATTTCTTTTAATTTAAAAACAGTATAACAAAGCTGCTTTCCAAACCCTATTGCTAGCAGAACTAGAAAAACCATATAAATTCTCATTAACTCTCATATTTCTGGAGGCAAAATAGATTTCAACAAATAGCATCTACTTATTACCCTGTACATAACTCTCTCTCAGCCCAACTCACCTCACAGGTGATTGTTGTGGGGAAAATAGGAGGAAGATGTGCTGATTTTTGTTATTTGTAAAAATAATAAAGGCAGGATTCAAATAAATAAAATAAAAAGATAATTACAATGCAATGCTACACAATATATAATACATACACTACAAGAAAATGTTATGGGTAATAAACCAAATTTATAGCTTACACAAAAGGAGTTGATAAACTGAAAGTGTGAAGCAATAAGAATTCTGTGAAGTAAACAATTTAGTTTTTTTTAAAAAAACAAAAAACAAAATTGAACACTTCTCTATGTAGCATATTACCTCACTGGAGAAAAAAGTTCTATATAGTCCCGCTCAAAACAATAACAATAATATACAAGTAGTAATAAATCAATTTTTCACTTGTGTTTTTATAACCAAACTAGTACTGGACTAGCATTGAAGTAACTCGGATTTAAAAAACTCAATGACTGCAATTAGGCCAGTCAATTTTTCTCAGATCAATCAACCTCACAGGATTTTCGTTCTTTGAATAAAATGAAGGGATGCCTTTTCTTCAGGTAAAAAGCTCATACAACACAGGGAAGCTATAAAGCCATATAAAATAAGATCATGCATATAAATTAGGAAGGGTCAGCAATAGTTATGCTTGTAAAACTATAAAAAGCTAGGACTAAAAAAAAATACCATGTAGGAATTAAGTACAATACCAAACTGGTTGTCACTCTGAGAGCCAGTTTTGGCGTTGTGGTTAAGGCACCAGGCTACAAACCTAGGAGACTGTGTTGTAATTCAGCCCAATGCAGCTCACAGCTGGTTGTGGGGAAATTAAGAGGAGGAAAGAAGATTGCTTATGTTGCCTCTTTGAGGTATTTATAACAATAAAGATGCGATATAAACATATCAGTCAAGATTTGGAGATGGGTGGATGAATAGAAAATAACCAATGGGTCAAAGATGCATAAAGAGCTACCTTTCTCCTTATTTTAAATATTGCTAATTAACGCTAAGTTCCATTGCAGGGTAAGAAAAACAAGACCCGTCTTCCTTTGGAGCTGCAAACAGCCCGTGCACAGCCTTCGGGCTTACTTTTTAAAATCCTTTCCAGATTGCCATCAAAATCCAGCGCCCACTGATTCAAAGCGCACGTAGCCATGGTCACTGCCCTGCCCATGGTGCCTTCGCGCCTCCTATTCTTCCCCAGGAGAAAAAAGAAAGGCGACCACCCTCCCGCCGGTGGGACCAGCACTCCCAAAAGCAACCCTTTTACTTCCGGTACCTTCCTCCTCGACTCAGCGCAAAGGGGAAGGGTTGAAGCTGTGGTATACAACAGTCTAGGGACCATTTCCGGGTGAAATGTAGCGCGGGGGGGGGGGAACACAAACCTATGAAACTTGCAAAGGGTTCGTCACTGAGATGGCAAAGGATTGAGCAGCTTTACTCCTTTGCTGGGCGCAAGTGCTGGCTACTCGCCCTGCCTCGTTTCGCATGCCAGTAGTGGGGGGTGGGGGGTGGGATGCCCGGGTGAGGAGCAAAAGTAAGCTTTCATCTAAAGCAACAATGTCTGCTAGACACTGATGGACTTCTAGGTTAGGGAATGGCAAGGTTAGATGCAGTTCTTAAAAAAAAATAAGGCTGCTCTCCCCTGCACTTTTTTCTTTCTTTTTTTAACGTTCTTTTGTGACTCCAAAAATGCAAAACACGAAATAATGAATGAGGGTGAAGGTTCGTTCCCCGAACTTGTGGGTTGGTTTCCGCTGAGGATGTTACCTAGCGTGCTAGCCTGAAAGCCAACCCAAAAGTTCGGAGGACGAACCTTCACCCACATCCTACACCCGAGCTACAGATATTCGCCACTATTGTAAATGAAATAATGGATTGAGAAGCATGGGGGGGGGAGTGCCTGTGACGATAGCTTTTTAGCAGGGTATTTCGCTCCCGCCGCAACCATGGTATCTTAGGATCACATCGATTGCCCAGGCCAGGGAGTCGTTCAAACGCAGGTAAACATGAGGTTTTCCCCTCTCCAGTTGTGTCCGACTCTAGGGGGCAGTGCTAATCTCCCATTTTTTAGCCGAGGGAGTCAGCGTTATCAGTAGAGAGCTATTGGTGTGTGTTGTGTGTATATATACGGTGGTTAAAGTCTAAAGTTCAAGAGCTTCTCTACAAGATATTTCTGCCTTTGTATTTAACATCTCCCATCCTCTTAAAACTCGATATCGTTTAGCATTTTAAGCCCCTAGCATGTTATTCCCTTTTTGCTAAATTCATTAAAACCAGATTTTCTGCTCTTGAAGGTATGGATTTATGTCAGCTTTTCCTTTTAAAGTTATCTTAAGCACCAATATAAAATGTTACTTTTCACTCCATAGATTTATTTTTTTCTTATACTGTGTCAGGAATGAGTTCAGGTAACCCTCGACTTACAACCACAATTGAGCCCAAAATTTATGTTGCTAAGTGAGACATTTATTAGGTGGTTTTTACCCCATTGTATGAATTTATTTATTTTATTTATTTATTTATGAGACTTATATACCATTTTAAGTGCAAGCACTCTCTAAGCGGTGTACACCAGTAAGCAATGTATATATATATTTACATTGCCCCCAACAATCTGGGTCCTCATTTTACCTACCCCGGAAGGATGGAAGGCTGAGTTAACCTTGAGCCGGTGAGATTTGAACCGCTGACCTGCTGAACACAGTCAGCTAAAGTGGCCTGCAGTACTGCACTCTAACCGCTGCGCCACCTCGGCTCATTTTTCTTGCTACAGTTGTTAAGTGAATCATGGCAGTTCTTAATAGCAGGTTGTTAAGTGAATCTGGCTTCCTGATTGATTTTGCTTGTAGAAGGTCACAAAAGGGGATCACTTGACCCCTGGACACTGCAACCATCATAAATATGAGTCAGTTGCCAAGTGTCTGAATTTTGATCACTTGACCTTGGAGATGCTGCAACGGTCGTAAGTATAAAAAATGTCATAAGTCACTTTTTTGAGTTCCGTTGTAACTTTCAATGATCACTAAATGAATTGTAAGTCGAGGACTATCTTATAAGTGATATATATATTTAATATATATTAATATAATATATATTGTATATAATATATAATATTAATATATTTGATATATATTAATATTGATATATTTAATATTATATTTTTATAAATATATATAAAAAAAAGATAAACTCTCAAGTGGCCCCAAGAGATCTCAGGGAAAGTGCTAATGACCAGATGACTGCAAAGAAATACAATCCTTCCATTCCCCCCCCCCCGCCCCCAATCCAGTTGCCTTTTGAAAAAGCACCTTTGAGAAAACTATGACCTGGATGATTGAGAATCTCCACAAACATATTGCTTAAAAGCTTTTTTCCTCATTTGTCAGCTCCCTACTACTTAAATATTGACAAATGATAGATATCATCAAATCAGGTTTTATTTTTCTCTTTCGTTTCATAATTCTTTAATTAATTCATCTCTGGAAAATGCAGTTCTTTATTTTTATTGTGGGTAGTTGAAATTAGACTTTAGGATCATATGAACCTAATCTAACATTTTTAGTGATCTTCTATTATATTTTCAAAACAGAACATTTAAGCAATCATATAAGTAGCTGATACTAATTTTATTAAACTATAATTACTCCAAAACTTCTATCCACTGTGGAACTTCAGAAGCAGCAAAATGTTTGGATAAATATATAGAACAGAGGTTTATATGAAATAAAAAATGTGAGGAAGCCACACAAAGCAAATAATTTTTCTTTTAATTTCATTTTTAAATACATTCTGCTTGATCAAGGATTAGTGAAAGTTCAGTGAAGTCTCCTTTTTCATAATGTTCACTGGGTGGCTGTTGCCATGGCTACTGAAATCAGCTTAGCTGGTTTGAGGCAACTGCACCAATCCAGTAAGGGAGCATGAGATGATGCTGAAAAGTTGGAGCAAGTGATTGGATAGTGATTACCATATGCATTTAATGGGTGGAGTTAAAAGAAGGAAAGGTTAAAAAAAGGGGATCTGGGAATTTGATGTTAGTATTCTTTCTTTCACTCAATGAGATTAAACGAAGGAGTTATTTCTTTATCTGAAGCTGAAGAATAAAGGCACAGGTAAGGAAAATTAACAGAATTCTAAGTGGACTGCTTCATATTGAATTAATAAATAATAATAAAGTAAACTGGTTGGGAAGCCATTGCATATATTGTTTTGTATGCTGCATTTGTCGGATAGGAGCAAGCTGGCAGCAGGCTTTGGAACATTAGCATATAAGAAAGAAATATTTATATCTGTAGAATATATTTCTCTTTTAAAATTAACATTATATAATTCTTATGTTTACAAAGACCATTCTGAATTCCTCTTAATGCTTGAAGATTTGTTTTCTTTGTTTTGCATTCCCGGATGAAACATTTTTATTGTGTTACATTGAAAGGAATAAGCTATACATTAGCTTAGATAATAACTGATTAACAACACAGCTAATTTACTCCTTTGGAACAAAATGTAATCTGGTAGAAAGATTGATTTTGTGCCATATAGTTAGTGTTGCCTAAGAGTATCCCAAATCACCTCAAAGGCAGACTCACATAAAGCACCTTGTGTTATTGTATTTTTCGCACTTTAGAATACTTTCATGAAATAATAATAATAATAACAACAACAATAAAAAGTTGGAAGGAACCTTGGAGGTCATCTAGTCCAACCCTCTGCTCAGGCAGGAAACCCTATATCATTTCAGACAAATGGCTGTCCAGTTTCTTAAAAACTTTCAGTGTTGGAGCATTCACCACTTCTGGAGGCAGGTTGTTCCACTGGTTAATTGTTCTAACTATCAGGAAGTTTCTCCTTAGTTCTAGGTTGCTTCTCTCCTTAGTTTCCATCTGTTGCTTCATGTCATGCCTTCAGGCACTTTGGAGAATAGCTTGACTCCCTCTTCTTTGTGGCAGCCCAGAGATATTGGAATACTGCTATCATGTCACCCCTCCCCCTATCCCTCTGTTAATGCAGCCTAGCACTGTGTTGGCTTTTTCGGCAGCTACAGCACACTGCTGGCTCATATTTAAGTGATTGTCCACTAGGACTCCAAGATTCCTCTCACAGTTACTACTATTGAGCAAGGTACCATCTATACTATACCTGTACATTTGGTTTTTCTTCCCTAAATGTAGAACCTTACTTTTTTCACCACTGAATTTCATTTTGTTAGATAGAGCCCAATGTTCAAGTTTGTCCAGATCCTCCTGTAACTTAAGCCTATCTTTTGGAATGTTGGCTATTCCTGCCAGCTTGGTATCATCTGCAAATTTGATGAGTTACCCATCTATCCCCTCGTCCAAATTGTTGATGAAGATGTTGAAGAGCACTGGGCCTAGCCCTGGGGCACCGCACTAAACACTTCCTTCCATGTAGCTGCAATTCCATTGAGGACCACATGCTGAGTATGGCCGGTCAGCCAGCTACAAATCCATCTGGTGGTGATGCTGTCTAACCCACATTTTCTATCTTATCAAGTAGTAGATTGTGATCTACTTTATCAAATGCCTTACTGAAGTCCAAGTAAATTATATCCACAGCATTCCTCTGGTCCACTAATTTTGTCACTTGGTCAAAGAATACAATAAGATTTGTCTGGCATGATCTGTTTTTGACAATCCCACGTTGGCTTTTATTAATAACTTTGTTTATTTCAATTCGTTGTTTGATTATCTTTTCCAGAATCTTCCCAGGTATTGAGGTCAGGCTGATAGGTCTGTAGTTTCCTGGATCCATTTTTTTCTCTTTTTTGAAGATGGGAACTACATCAGCTCTTTTCCAATGCTCTGGTAGTTCCTCAGTGCTCCAGGATCTTTGAAAAATATAGTTCAGTGGTTCTGCCAGTTCCTTCAGAACCTTGGGGTGTAATCCATCGGGTCCTGGTAATTTGAACTCGTCTAGGCTAGACAGGTGCTCACTTACTATTTTCTTGCCTACCTTAATGTATGTTTCTATGGTTTTTTATGGTACTGTTTTTGATAGGTTGGACTGTTTTTTTCAACAGATGCAAAAAACGAGTTTAACAGTTCTGCTTTCTCCCTGTTGCTTGTCACCTTCTTGCCACTTTCTCCCACTAATGGACCAATCATTTCCTTAACCTTTTCCTTGTTTTTTACATGTTGAAATAAGGTTTTTTTGTTATTTTTGACTTTGGTCGTAAGCCTTAGTTCATTTTGAGTCTTAGCTTTCCTCACTTCATCTTTGCAGGCTTGGGCTATTTTCTGATATTCTTAGTTATATGCCC